ATGCACGTCCGGGCCTCAAACTCTTGGAAGTCTAGGCACTAGGTGTTCATCATGTCCGCAATTTATGCGCCTTCGCTCTCTGCCGAGATGAGCACTTCAGGGAGGGGCGGAGACGCCATTTCTCCGATGAGTTTTCTAGCAGCTCTCAAGGCTGAGTCCATGAGCCCCTTGACCTCCCTTGCCATGTGTGTCCACCACTCCAGTTGCTGCAAGGGGAGGCGGACACTTTCCAGCGTACTTCCTGCAGCTGCGTGGCAATAGAAACGAGAGACTCTTCGTAGCAGCCGGCAGACCGGCTCCATGTTCTCAAGCCAGCAAAGGCCAAGGCTAGAGATCTTGCTTTGCTCATTAGTTCCGATGCAATCTCCACACGGCCGTTGCATGCCCTTGTGCATAGACTCTTGGTCCTGTGGCTTAAATGCAAGCTGCAGCACGGTCCCTGCATTACCGACCGCATGCATGTAAGGCTAAGGGATTGTACGCCTGTAGGCTTGGGTCGGATTTTGGCCTTGAGCATTGCGGATGGCGGCCTGGCGCAGTTGTGCCCGGCGAAGATGTCGTAAAGGTCACAGTAGTCGCATCTCATGACCGTGACCAGCAGCGAATCTCAACGAGTGCCTCATCCTGCAGATTTTTCCTTTCACCGCTGGCGGTGGGGGTCGGGGCCGGTAGGTGTCCCGTTCCATGGCCCGTGTGTTGGATGCTTGCTGCCTGAGGTGCAAAGCCGTTTTTGCCAAGTCACTTACAGAATGGCCTTTCTCTCCTAACACTACCACGGGGTGGATGCACTCATGTGGCCCGGGTTGCCAAGGTCGGCCCAAGCACTTCTTCCAGACAGGTCGTGTGCTTCCTGCCGTCCCGCGTCCTGGGGGCATCCTCGCTCGCAAAGTGTCTCGAAAGTTCATCACTGACTGTCCAGTGATGTCATGCACCGGCCGCTTTGTGCCGCCGCCTTGCCGGTGCTTTGATGGCAAAGTGCTCGTGATACAGTTTCGCGGTCAGGTTCATGAGCCCTTTGTGCCAGCGTGTCAGCAACCGCATCTGCAAGGGAAGCTGTGCACAATGTCTTGCACAGTCGGTTGCTTTGACTTGACGGCTTTTGTCTGCCGCGATCGACGACTTCTTTCTGCGAGTGAAAATCGCTCGAAAGGACTGCTCTCTGCTTTGAAGTTGGCGCTTCAGGCCCGAGGGCTGGGGTTCCGTGAAGCTGGTCCTTCGACATGTACTTGAATTATGATGTGTCTCGTCAGTAGATCCATATGTCAGCATATCTGTAGAGTGTAGAGTCTAGAGAGATGTGGTGTTTGTGTCTGAAGCAAAGGCCCAAGGCCCGCAACGACGCATCGACCCTGGCTCAAGCATGAAGGTGTTGTAGCAGTGTGGGGAGTCGATAGCTTGAGTGAGGCAGACGCCGAAAAGGTGCGAGTCGCCAGAGACGTTCCTCACCCGAAGAAGATTTCGATTGCTTTGGGGCTTTGGCTGCCGCACTGCAGCCTAAGAATGCCTATTCTCAACGGATTCAAGACCTCAAACTCCGAACCCTTACAGCGATTTAATCAACAAGCACTTTCTGCCTTTGGATTCCGGTCGCCCGCTGAAGCTTTCGGTCCTCAGAACGACAGCCTTGGTGGTAGACTGCCCTACTGTGGGTGTCTTTGCAATGCAGCTGCCCGCCAAGCGGCTACGCAAGGGTGCGAGCGGCAAGCGCAATTCGGCGCCACGGAGCGGAGGCTCTGCTGTAATACTGGCTTCTTCTCTGTTGGGAGTGCATACTTTCCCTGGGATCCTTTCCGGTGTTGTGAGTTCTGAGGAGTTCCCTGCGGCGCGAACCTCAGGGTTGCGGGTATAGAAACGCTCGAAAACCCAAGTCTAACAATACAGGCTCTTCAAAGTGCTGCTGGTATTATTACTATGATTACCGTTGTTATCGTGATCGTTGTTAGCGATATTTTTTTGTTGTTTTTGTTATCCCTTTCGTTGTTATTGTTACATATTGACATTAAATGTTGCAAGTGTTGTTAATTTCATTAAGAATATCATTGTTGATCTTGCTAGTGTTGTCGTTATTGTTGTTAGTACTGTTAATATGGTTGTTATTGTTATTCTTGTCATTTTTGTTATCATTACCACCATTGTTATTGCTGTCATCATTGCTGTGCTTGTTACTGTTATCATGACGGGTATTGTTGTTAGTGTTGCGTTTTCATGACTATTCCTCTTGTTTTGTCAGCGCTGTGTTATATCATTGCCCTTGTCGTTATCACTATCATCACCGTTGTTATTGCTACTGTTATTAATACTGTTAGTTTGAGTGCTATTATCATTATTGGTACTGTTGCTGTTGCTCTTTTTGTTATGATGATGGTGATGATTAGATCTCCGTGTTTGACGCCTGGGCAGGCGCTTCGGCAGATGTTAAAGCTCTGATGTGGCAGCTGGCCACAGGCACTTCTGGAGGGTTCCGGGTTTGGGGTTCAAGGTTGTAGGTCTTTTTGGGTTTAACTTTTTTTTGGGTTTCGGGTTGAGGGTTTGGGGTTTTAGCGTTTAAGCTTGTTGGTGTTTGCCGGGCCTTGTGTGGAGCTGTCTACTGGGAGGCACGGGGTGCCGGGATTCTTTTGGGGTCTCTAGGTTTCGAGGCCATCTGAGTGCGATGCAGGAGTGAACACAAGAAAAGACTCCATTGTGTTTTTGCACCCTGAAGATGCCTTGGGCTTCCAGCCAAACTTTGCAGACTTGTCTTTGAGGGCGACTGGCAGGCTGTATTAAGAGAAAGCACGTGCGTGTTGCTTCGTGGTCGGCGAGCTGGACTGATGGCACTCCGAATCTATTGCAAAACTTGAATCCCCAACATTAAGCACCAAAGCCCAACAGCCTGTATCCGCAGATCGCCGACAACGCAGCTGGAGACGTGTGCCGGGCGCTCGGTGTGGTGGCCAGCGATGGGCTAGTGTGGGCTGCACGGCTCAAGCCCGATTGTTCGGCAACTCTGCGATGGATAGCATCCTGTGTGAGCCTAGCACCTAGCCTATGCGAAGACGTTCCAGCCTCAGCTTGGACGATTCGAATTTGCTGAACTGTCCTTGATGCAGGATTGGCACTTTGACGCTGGCACGAAGGCGTGGTCGTTGGTACCGCTGGTCGTTCCTGTAAGCTTTGGCGAGTTTTCACTTTCCGGCGTCCGTGCCTTAAGTCTGGTGTTTGTGTCGACTCTACAGCTCTGCAACGTGAAAAGCAAGCCCAAGTTGGCATCTAACAGGAATACAAAGGACATCGGCAGATGATGCGACAGCGAGCTCAGGGACGCAAGGACACGGGCCAACCGTCGGTGCAGAAACGTTGCCAATATGCTAGTGCCCTGACCTGCCGAGTGCGGGCGTCGGAGAGGGTTGGAAAAATCCAAACATATTCAAGCGATGCCGTGGTGACATACTACAATGTACTATAGTTCACTTTAACATACTATAATATACTAGAATCTACTATCATTTACTATAATATACAATAATCTACTATAACATACTACAGTAACTATAACATACAATAATTTCCTATAACATATCATAATAACTATAACATACTATAATAACTATAGTATACAATAGTCTACTATAACACACTATAATACCTATAGTTTACAATAATCTACTATAGCATACTATAATCCCTGCAACAGTGAGTTCGTGTAAAGATGCATGTGCAACCAACTTCAAAGTGGTTCGTGAGGCTGAAGTGGTTGTTGAGGTTTCCTGTTTGAGTTGTGAGTGTGCCGCGAAAGTGAAGGCAGAGGTGTGTGCCTGGCATATGTCGGCACAGCCTGCTGCTTGAAGGGCGGCTTGCTCTTTTGTTTTCGTGAGGGGCCTCAAGGGCTTTAACCTCATGCGTTGCCTGGCGCTGCTAGACCCTCTGGATGCAACGGCAGAGAGAGAGAGAGAGATACTATAATAACTATAAGATACTATAATCTACTATAGCATACTATAACAACAATATATATATATATATATACTATAATCTACTAGAATAGCAAGTGAGGAGAAGGTTGTTTTGGGTTCAGGCAGCACATCGAGCTTGATGTCTTCGTGTACGGTGCTGCGACCAGCGCATCAGCCTGAGAGCTCTTTGTCGACTCTTCTCCTAGTAGATTATAGTAGATTATAGTAGTTATGGTATACTATAGTGTATTCTAGTAGACTATAGTAGATTCTAGCATATTATAGTATGTTATAGTAGATGCTTGCACACGACATAACGGCTTGCTTCTTCGCGGCATGATCGACTCGAGTCCGTTTGAGAGAGAGAGAGAGTAGATGCTTGCATATTATAGTTATTATAGTATGTTATAGTAGATTACAGTACACTATAGTAAAGTATAGTAGATTATAGTATATAGTATGTTATAGTATACTCTAGTATATTGTACAATGTCACGTCCCCGCGGATCCGAGGCTTATGCTGAAAGCAGCCAGTGGTCGCTGGCCGAGGAGATTTTTGAACAGGACTGCCATTGGGGCAAGTCCTGAAGTTGCAGCCAGATCCGGGGAAGTTCGTGCTTTTGATGGATCGCTGCCAGGTGCGGTCAGGTGGACTACAGCCCGACATGGTGTTGCGCCGCTTACCCGGTGCACTTCCTTTGCTTCAACCGCAGTAGCATGGGCCTTTCAAAAGACTTCTGTTGCCTGCGGGCGAAGAGGTAGATGCTGGAAATTCTGTCAGGCATGGGCTGATGTTGCGACTGGAAATATGCTAGCCGCCCGACTTTTGGCGAAGGGGACGGAGTCAGCGAAATTGGCAAACATGCTTCCACAGACCAGCAGACGATAGTCAGCATATAAAACAATGTTTGACATCGCGAGAAGTGATCCAAGACAGGAATGAATCACCTGGATTGAAGCTCAACTTATCGTGTCGTCTTGAGGCCACTGTACACGTCACCGAGCCATGAAGCCGAGAGTGATGGCACTGTGGGATCCGGACGAGGTGCCAAAGCTTTGACCGAGTGGATGCCGCTGGGCCCAGGCCCATCGCCAGGGCGCTTCAGATGCTCGGCGAATAGTGGCACACACTAGTAGCTGTACAAGGATATTCAGTAGCTGTGGAGCTATCGGTTTGGGGGTTCCATATTATGTCTTTTTGTATAATGGGGCCCCAAAAAACCTATTCCAAGTATAGTCGAGTCTGGAGCCGAGGGTGCGTCTTCTTCTGGCAGCTCTCACTGTGGTGCCTGAACTCGGGCCGATGCTCTACCCGGCGGGCAGACGAGATCGCGGAAGGCTGTCTGGTTCTAAGTAGGGAATGGGGCGACCCAAATATAGTACCCTACATAGTAGGATCCTTGTTAAAAGGACCCCCTAATCTTCGGAAACTCCCAAGTAGGGAATGGGGCAATGGATCCCTCTGCTAGTGTCTTGAGGTCCCCTATAGTAGTCCCAATTTCCCATTCCCCCATTCCCTATTTAAAGGATTATGGGACTTCGTAATTAGGGTTATAACTACAGTAGGGTAAGTATACTTGTAACCCCAATTAAGGTACTTACAACCTTACTTACTAAGTCCCATGATCCTCCAAGTAAGAACCAGACAGAAGGCGCAGCGTGGGACTGGCCCAGCGGTGCTTTCCTCAGGTTCGGGAACGACTCCGAGCTGATCTATACCAGGCGCAAAGGGGGGGGTTAGGGTTTAGGGTTTGGGGTTTGGGGTTTAGGGTAGTTTCAGTGGGATTCGGAGTGGGGGGGATTCGGCTTCTACTGGCGCTGAGGATTACCACAAGCGCCGGGCTGACCATCTCTGATCTGCAGATCACGGTTCCCGTTGCCGAGTGCAGGGAGTGGAATGCGTCGGACTTGGGACCATACACTTTGCTGATCCACATGCACGATGCTTCTTGCCTTACCTTTGGTTAGTAGGGAATGGAAGACTGGTAGTAATAGTAGTTATCAGTTATAATTGTACCCCATTCCTCCATTCCCTACTATCCCAAGGTAAGTTACCTGGAGCTGCTGCTGCACATCACCGCCGATGAGAACTCCACCTTGTTTCTGGGACCCTCGCTGGATGATGGCTATGAGATCACGTTAGCCAGCGAGCAGGGCATCTCCTCCGTACGAAGGTTGCTTGCGAATCGAGTGCAAGGAAGCACAGAGGAGTACCCTGGCAGGAACGGTGGAACATCCATAAACTTACAACAGCACTGAGCCTGTCACGTCCGGATGTAGTGGTATCTGTCTATTGAACGATTCTACGATACATTTCAAGGGAGAGTTTCAGCAGCAACGGGTCGCATCAGGCAGCCTCTCACGGCCACACGCCATCAGAAAAGAGTGCGGTCATGATAAAAGAGGGAGTTTGGGTTCGGAGGCCCGAATGCTTGCAGGCCATGCTCCTGCGAGTGACCTCTCAGAGGCGTGTGCATGTAATACCACTCGTCGAAGACCCAGGCCCAAACCCTAAACTCTGCCAAGTAGGAGGGCAAAAATAACCCTGCAGCTCGAAACCCTAAAGTTCCCCATGAAGGGTCCTCCTGGAAAAGGGCGTAAATATTTGCCAACACTGTTGTGGGGGTTCCTTATTATCATCATAGTATCATGGGCCCCTAAACCCCATGTCAACCAACCACGCGCAAATCGACCTTATTTCAACCAATCAAGGCCCCTATAGTACAGCCTTCAGGCAGGGGCTTTGGGCCCTTCCCGGTGCTCGACTCTCCGTCCGCCTCTCCTGGCAGCTGCTGCTTGGGGCCGGCACCCTGAGGCCGGAAAACACGGGGAGATGGGGGGCAGCGAGTAGCAAGGTGGGTGGCGCCAATGCCCAAGTAAGCCGACGAATGAAGAGAAAGCCTGAAAAAAAGAATTAGCATTTATATTTCTTGGTCTGAATAATATTACTAAAAAGCCCTAGCACGTCCAGCCAGAACTCCCGTTGGATTTGCCTGGGTTCCTTTGCATAAAAGACTTTATAGTCCATCCTCATCGCCGTAGTCTCGCAATTCGATATTCTCGGCAGGATCTACAACGGCAGCGAGCCGCTTCCTGCGACGCAGCTGTTGGCTTTCGTTGACCCGACGCCGCCGCGACGGGCCAGTGACCTGTACCAAGCCCTGACTTCAGAATTTACAGTTTATGCTTTTGTATGTAAATAATTAGATACACACACATATATATATAGATAAATGTAGATGGATATATACGTATTCATGAGTGTGCGTATACCATGTATTATATGTATGTATGTATCTATCTATCTCAACCTATACATATATAGAAGTGCGAGTGTTTATCTATATGTGTATGTATACGACGACAACGGAGAGCCAGAAGCTCATCAAGGCCGCGAGCCCGAAGGCATGGACCGCCTCTGGCCCAAGCCGCTCTCATCTAGTACTTAAAACATCATGGGACTTAGTAAGTAAGGTTCATAGTGCTGGCAGTCATCAAGTCCGGTTTCAAAAAAAGGGATTCGGGTTCAAGATCTCTTATCTACTACAGATTGTCCCCAACCTGATGTATGTATCAGGTCCCCTGAGAGACTTGTCTCGTATGTTAGTATAGCATAGTACAGCATAGAATAGTATAGTATAGTATAGTATAGGATAGTATAGTATAGTGCTGCGTTGCTGAAGAGCTTAGGCGCCTCTGGGCCGCAACGACGAGCACCGCAGGCCTTCGGAGGGACCACTTCGGATCCCAAGCTTGGCAACAGCAAAGCTCTGAATGGAGGGACGGAGCACGCATACTTGTTTCATCTCTAAAACATGCTTAGTTGATGTTCACAACGCAAAAAAGAAAATGTACAGCCGCAGGTTCTCGCCCAAAAGGGCTTAGGCTGCTCTAGACTACTACCGGCTTCTGCCGCCGCACAGCAACAGTAACAGCAGCAGTAGCAACAACAGCAACAACAGCAACAACAGCAACTTTTACTACGGCTACAGCTGCAGAACGGCCCCTGTGGGGCTACTGCTCGGCAGCCACCACTCAGCCGGAGAATTAGCGTCGTAGGAATCAGCCGAGCCGGAACTCACACAACTTATACCGATGAGGGCACATAGTGCCCGAACCTGTGCAGGTCTCTGGAGTGCCTGTCCTGTGGGCCGGTCTGCGCCGGTGCTAGAGAGGTGCCTAATCCGTGGGGTGATTATCATCCTCCGGGTCATCGCAATCACCCCCTTCATCGTAGTTGCTGGATGTCCCATATTAAGGACATTCCTATCGCAACACACCATCACCGTCTTCACCAGCTCTACCAGCCTCAATCAGCATCACCAGCCATCACTGTTACAGGTTTGTTCAGTTTTGGCCATAGTCTCTCTCAGCGGGGAGATCAGGGAGGAAGGCCTGGTGGTAGTGAGAAGGCAGATGCAAGATTGCAAGAATTCGCTGAAGCGTTTCAAAGCGGCTTCGCCACCTCTCCCGGCAGGGAGAATCACCAGCGGCCCATGCTCAAGCTGGTTAGGAGGCTTAGCCGCACTCTTCTTTTCGGGCGTGGAGGCCAGCATAAGAGCAAACCCATAAGCCCTTAACCCCAAACCCTAAGCCCGTAATCCCCAAACCTTGAACCCGAAGTCCCCCCCAAACGCAACTGGCTGTGTCCAAGGGATGGGACCCGGCCGTCGGAATGTGAAGAAACGCTGCAAGACGTCGCGGCTGCTGGGCTCCAGCTTGGCGCTCTCTCCAAGTCCTAATATAGTACCCTTAATATGGTACCCTAATATAGTACCCTAATATAGTACCCTAGATAGTAGGATCCTTCTTAGCAGGAACCCCCAAAGAAGCCAGGTTCCCAGCAGCGAATGGCAGAGCTGGCCCTTGCCTCTCGTGCTCACGGAGAATCGCCTGGAAGCTCTGGAAAACTTCAGCTTCATGCAAGGCATGGCCTGGAATCTTTCCATCTGTCCTGGGAGTTAGGATGAAGGGGACCCTTTGGGGATAAGTAGGGCTCAGAAGGGGTACCCTTTAAGGGGTCTCTCAAATAATACTACCGATGTCCGCCTGTCAGTCCGTCCGTCCGTGCACCCTCTGTACATCCGTACCTGCCGACCTGCCCACTTGCCTACTTGCCTACCTACCTGCCAGATCAGGTAGTAGACCGTGGCAGAATGTAATAGGACAGAATATTGCAACATGTAAATGGCTATGGCTCAAGACTTCCGAGTCTGCCCTCAAGCTCTCTCCACAGTCTTCCACTTAATCCTCCAACCATATCTAAAGATGAAGAACGGCCAATCACACACACGAGAAGACCATCTGCGCCCGCCGACAAATTCAATTGTCCTGACGACATTTCCACCCTCATCGTAGTCAGAAAGCACGAGGCTCCTAGTTTCATTCGTGTCCTGGTCTGTCCTTCCTTGCCTCTCCCTTCTCTCTGTCTCTCTCTCTCTCTCTCCCTCTCTTGTCTCTTTCTGGTACTGCCTTCCTTGCTGTTCTACTTGCACTGACTGACTTCCTTGCTTTGCACTGCCCGCCTTGCCCTGTTTTCAGGAGTTTCGTAACATGGCTCGCGAATCTGAGAGGGGACGCACGCGAGAGCGAGCTCGTGGCAATAAGGGGCGTGAGGCCCCAGCCGCACCTGTCGTAAATCCCTACTCTGTCGCAGCAGGGACGCTTCCGGTTGATCAGCCAGCGGCAGCCTCAGAAATTCCGAAGCCCATACCCACTGGAGTGCCTACTAAAGGAACCAAGCTCCCTCTTGTTGGTAGCCACCAAAGTGTGCTTGAGCACCCCATTGTGACGACTGCACCGAGCAATGACCGTGCACGACAGGATAGCTCTGATGCTGATGTTGACAAGAAGGCCCCCGAACCGAAGAAAATTAAATTAGAGCCCAAAGATGAAAACATGACCCAGCCTGACGGGGAAGGGGACATCCCTCCTCCTCCCATCGACCATCAGGCAGCTTTTGGTCAACATCAGGTTTTCGACCTCACTCTCGATGACGAACTCCGCGATACTGAGCCGCCTCCTCAGCCCGAACACCACGCTGGCGGAGCCTTTCCCACCCTTACTAGGCCTAGTGTCGAACAGCCTGAATGGGTACAGGACCTTGTCAAATCCCTACAGGGTCTTCATGCTAAAAGTGATCAAACACATGGGTATTGCCTTGAGATGGGGTCCACCATTCAGCAGCATGCTACGAGGCTAGATCACTTGGAGGCTTGCCAAAAAGAGACCACAGACCAACAAGACAGCACCCTAGTTCGACTCCAGGCGCTTGAAAAAGTAGTTGCTGATCTTGAGAAACAACAACAGCAACAATCTCGTTCTCCCACCCCTGCCCGTTTCGCTCCTGGGACCCCTCGTGGTAGAGGGAACAGTCCCAGAAGCCCACGCGGAAGTCGGGATCCTTTCCAAGATCTCAATCGAGATCCCTTGCAGGACCTAGGGCTTGTTGTCGGAGGTTGGACTGACGCCCGAAGTGGCGAAGCCGAGGAGGAAGTACGCAACATGTTCCGTGCCGCAGATGCTGAGGCCCTCATTGACCAGCTGTCTGGGCCTTCAGGACGCACAAATTTCTTACGGGTGTCGCTAGCCTTCCCAGAGAATGCTAGCTTACCCCGCAAGCGCCAAATCCAGAAAGAGCTCCTTGACAAACTTAAAGCCATGAAATGCTCTAGCGGGATTGATGGTCAGAATGGTGCCGACTTGTGGATCCAGAAAGACAGGCCCCTCGAAGAGCGCCTGCGCATTCGAGCTGTTGTCCTGACTAAGAATTTCTACAACAAGATTCCTTCCCTTGCGGGTCGCCCACCCTTGCCTCCGCCCGAAATGGTCTGGAGAGGCCAAGTCTTTATAGGACAAACCAAGCTTATTCGGAACATGGACGATGGTCACGAACCTATTGCTACGGACCAAATCATCGAAGACAATAAGGGCAACCATACCGTCTGGTTTCTGAGCTCGCAGGCTTTCGAAGAGGTGACGGGCCGCGCTAAGGAAACCCTACAGCAAGCCTGGCTCGACTATGGTCCGGCCTCTACCCCTATGGGGGCCGGGGGCGCCCTTTGAAACACCAAGGTGCCGGCGAGTCGTATACACATGGCGTCTTGGAACTTGAGGGGAAAATCCCTCCAGGACCTTGCTCGTATCTGGGACGTCACTAGCTTGCCGGGCACTGATGTAATTGCTTTGCAGGAACTTGGTAGTCTTCCAGAGAAATGTCCAAATTCCGATTCAGTACTGCACCACGAAGCTTTCTTGTCGGGACGTAGTTTCATTTTCTTTTTCGCAGATCCTTCACATTCTTTCCGTGGGAGTGCAATTGGTATTCCCACGGAGTGGGTGGGGAGGGTCGAATCACAGACCACCTTTTGCACTGGTCTGGGACTTGTCTTGAAAAGCCAAGGGGTGCGACAGTTCCTGATGACAGCGCACTTCCCACATGACCTCCGTAAGGATTGTCTGCCCGTTTGGCAGACTCAGGTCGAGGAAATCCTTGACTTCTGTGCTGCACGCAGATATCACGACTTAGTCTGTCTGTGTGCTGATCTCAACTACGACATTCTGGACATTGTCCATGTTGATGAAAGGGGAGTTCCTTTTGGCCGGCTCCTTAGAGAACTTGGCTTGTCGCACAGTCGGCCCTCTGGAGCCACCTGGCGAAACACTCGAGGATCTTCTTCTCGCATCGACTTTTTTCTTTTCTCGCTGCCTTCCATGTCTGTTCTTGACGACCGTGTACATGAGGGCAGTGAAGAAATCATTGGTTCTGATCACAGCGCCATTTCCTTGAGTTTGGAGACCATAGGGAGAGCAGGCCGACGACGCTTCTGCAACTCACGCTGTGGTAAATGGTGGACAGATGCCCCCAAGTTCGCATCCAAGTGCGAACAACTTGCTGAGAATCTTGACTTGGACATGCAGGACTTGTCCATGGCAAATTTGGAAGCTATCTGTCAGCAGACTTCTAGGCGCATAACTAGCTGTCGTTATCGAGACCCTCCCGAGATCAAACAACTGATCCATGAACGTAAGCTCTTACGGGGACAACCTGCGCGTCAGCTTGCCAAGCGTATTGCAGATGAGAGGAAGACTGCCAAACGTGAGTGGCTCAGTGACCTGCTGAGCAAGGGCGCTAGTGGAGACTTCAGAGCCCTCAGCTATTTCCGCAAACGCAACTCGTCGGCATACACCCATGGATCGTACTGTATGCGGGCAGGGGGCTCGCTTCGTGCGATTTCAGATCTGCGCAGTTTCTACCGTTTGAAGTACACACAAGCCGACCATGTACCAAAAGGCTTGGCTCTTGCGATTTTCCGCGGACGAGCAGGGCCCATCACTGCTCCTGAGCCTTTCAGCCTTTCTGAAATTCAGGAGGTTGCTTTTCAGTGCAAACATAACAAAAGCACAGGCACGGATGGGATCAGTTATGAAGCCATTCAGCTGCTCCTGCAAACGAGTCTTGCGGAACATTTGCTGGAGTTGTTCAACGATGTGCTGTGGGGGACACGGGAAGTGCCTCTGTCTTGGCTCAGCAATCACGTCATTTTCCTTCCCAAGAATGCGGCCCCCGATTGTCCTAAGGACCTGCGACCAATCGTGTTGTCACCCACTGTGGCTAAGGTGTTCACCAAAGCACTCATGCTCAGACTTAGGCCGAAGTTGCCAAGGATCCAAGCCTTCCAAGTGGGCGGGCTCCCTGGCAGACAAACTTTAGACTCCGCCTGTGCGGTACAACACGCGATCCGACTCGCCCAACAATACGACAAAACGCTGTATGTGGTGAAACTCGATATCACAGCCGCATTCGACTCCATATCGCATGAAGCAGTCGCGGCCTATCTTGCTTCCACCACGGGGTGCAGGGAAGCTGAGTTGCTGTTGCAGATCATTGTGGCCACTAAGGTCGAACTTAGCATTCAAGGCACAAAATGGGAGCAACATCTCTCGAAAGGCATCTTACAAGGCAGTAGTTATTCCGCTGAAATCTTCGCCAGGTGCGTTGACTACTTTCTTACGCCCACACAGGATAAGTGGCAGGAGTCGGAACCCTCTTGGCTGACCGACGAAGTCGGACATAAATTGTTCCTGACCCCCTTTGCCGATGACTTGGTTCTGCTCGGTACTTCCAGAGAACAAACCCAGCGACTATTGCGAGATGCTGAGGAGACCTTGCGAGCCATCGGTCTACACTTCAATGCTAAGAAGTGCAAGTACCTACACTCCCCTGGAACCCTCGATGCCCCGTTCCGGCTTCAGAGCGGACAAGGAGTCGAGGCTGTCGATTCTATGATCTTTCTGGGCATTCTCCTCGGCTTTCAGCTCTCGTGTGTGGCAGTCATCGCTACACGCATGACCAAGGTCAGCAATGCCTTTTGGGGCTACTTTAGAGTACTCAGGCAAGCAGGAGTGGGGCTCACTCAGCGTTTGCGAGTTTTTGATTGTTTCATCACTTCGAGGTGGAGATGGATGTCTCCCGCGGCACGCCCTTTACAAGCTGTGCAGACGTACTTGAAGCGCGCGCACACCACATTTCTCTCAGCCATTCTAGGATTTTCCCGTGACCCCTTCCAGCCGCCTGTGGATGCTTGGCTCTCGCGCCGACGCGCGAGTAGAGCAGCCGCACAGTGTGTTGGGCACAAACGGTGGGAGTCCATACAGGCCCAATCATTTTGGACCTATTGGGGGCACGCGGCACGTTATGGCAAGTCCGAGAAAATCCCCATCCGTTTGATGATACAGGTGCGAGGTCCTTCATGGCTTCTCTCCAACCAGTTTCGTGTTCGCCGAGCTCGACCTGGACGAGCACCTGACTCTAGTAGGTTTATCCAGCTGGAATGGGAAGCTTTCTTGCAGCACAAAGCGTACGTTGGCTCTGACATTTCGTGGGCAGACGGTGCTCAGGATAGGAACAGGTGGAGAGAATTCGTAGACTTTTGGCTCCAAGTCAATCACTGTCAGTCCTGCAAATACTACACTGTGCCACTGCAGCACCTGGACTTGCGAGGTCGCATGCTGTTGCAGAATGGTGACGTGTTTTCCCTTCTCCCTACTCGGCACGTTCCTGTAGAGACGGCTCATCCTTCTTCTTTTCTGTGTGTTGATCTTGAGCCCGAAGCACGAATCACTGATCCTTCTCAGTCCGAACATCTCTTGCGGGTCTACTCTGACGGTAGTGCTTCTCAGTCCAAAACTGTGGCCGGACCTGGGGGCGGAGCAGTCATTCTTCTCCCTCCATACGGGGACATCCAGGATGCGATTGTGAGCTACTTTCGGATCCCCGGTCCATGTACCAATATCGAGGCTGAGGTCCGCGCTGCTGTTCACGCTCTTAAGATGCTTCAAGAGGTTCGAAAGCGTTTTCCTGGACTCCCGCTGCAATTCTGCACCGACTCTCAGTACGTGCTTCAGATCATGAATGGGGACTTCATTGGAACGCATCATGCTTCAGCCACGAATGAACTCATTTGCAGGTGGAGTGAACTTTCTTGCTATGTCAGTGCATGCCACGTCAGAGCACATCGAGGGTACCTGTTGAACGAAGTGGCAGATCACTACGCGAAGAAGGCTCGCGGACTCACACACTCCTGTACCATGTACCACACTCATGACATGTCACGAGCTGCAGTAGCGCCACGGTGCGTCAATGTGTTCATGCCATGGCTTGTGTGAGGGGGGGGGGCGGGACGGCCCCAAAATGGTCCTCTTGTTTTTTCTGCAGCAATTTGGACGCAAGCACCCCGATCTTTTGTGTTTTCACTGCCCCTCTCGCCATGACGGACGCCTTGCAAGTGCTCGGGTTCCTGGTTGGGCTCTTGGCAGGACTCGCTGGGATGATCCTTTTCTGGGCTCTCCAGCACAAAGGTGAGCACGGAGCCACTGAGGTACCCGCAGCCCCGACGACCACGACTCCGGAGGTACTACCTGTGGCTGCCAAGACAGCCGCTCCATCAGGAGCCAGCTCAACGGGACCACCACCAGGCCTCCCGGATCCTTTCGATGCCCTACTGCCCGACATCATGGATGGTGTGGCATCGGCGGCGAAACCACCTGGAGAAGTGAAGCCTTCCGCCACAAGTGATGCTCCAGTGGTCGCAGCTGCTTCGCCCGTCGCCTCCCCGCACCAGGCGACTGCTGAGCTTGGATCATCGACTTCGGCGATGGAGTCGCTGAAGGAGTGGATGAGTGGCGAACTGCAAGAGCAGATCCAACTGCTGTTCGAGCAGAACCTTCGCTCTCTGCACACTGATGCCCCCGCCTCGACTACAGCCACGGTGAATGGGCCAGACCTGGATCATCTCCAAGCTGAGGTGGATGCCTTGAAGTCCTCCATCCAAGGCATGATCAAAATTCAGGACAAAGTCGTCGCCAAACTGGATGAGATCGGTGACCTTGGTGGACGCCGTCACGCATACGTTGAGAATGCCACAGATGGGACACAGGATCAGCTCCGAGGGCTGACCAGGGATGTGCAGGCCTTGGGAGCCAGCCACAAGGAGCATCGTCAAGCCAACAAGGATGCAGCTGTTGAGTCAGGGCGGCGGTTCATGGAGGTGCTCAAGGAACTGGCGACGCTCTCGTCGAAGGTGCACAACGGCTTCGCTGGCCTAAGCGGCATTGGTCGGAGTGCCATGGCAGCGGCGCAAGAGAGCAAAGAAGCAGCCGAGCGCGGTCTTGAGGTCGGCGAGAAGACGTTGGCAGCAGTTCGGGTTGCGGGACCTTCACCATCCGAACGTGAGCTCTTGGAAGGCGTGGCTGAGAGTCAGAAGGCCCTCGATGCCATCAAGGGCCAGCTCACCACACTGGACGGAGCACTCGAGTCCATCAAGCAGCAGCTGGCATCGCCATCACCACCACCGCCAAACATTCCGCCGTCGGTTGTGACCCAGGTTGTGCCACCACCTCCACAGCACAGCCCTAACCTCGTGCACCTGACAAGCAGCGCCGGATCTTCATGGAATCCACCACAGACGGCGACAGTGATGATGGGGAATCCCCAGCATCTCTTAAGGATGCTCGCCGGGCCTCCTGATGGCAATAACTGAGAGCATGAGCCATGTATCTTGACATAATCTGTGAGCATCTTACTTGCATGTTAGCTGACTTAAGCTGTCTTCTTCTTGGGTACTGGCTACATGCTCTCCTGTTCGTGTAAGTATGATCATATACAACCTTGACCTGCCCACGGGCACCTTGTACTGTAACTGCCCTCGGCACCTTGTGCACTGTGTACAGCGCTTCGCACTGCCAGCACTTTCCTTTTCCTTGCCCTGTACTTGCACTGCCTTGTGAGTCAGCACCGCTGCTTTGCTCTGAGAACAACAGTGCTTCTTTCTTGTGGCCTGCGCGAGTGTGTGAGCGAAACCTTGTCGGAATGTCACTAGCTTTGACCACTTTGTTTTGCATAGTTACGTGGGCTCTCAGCTTGGACGTCGTACGAGCAAACATGTTTGCTGTGCCTCTTGCTTCCGCTCCGTCGCAGGTTCTGTCCCTAAGCCCTGCAGAACATCCAACACAGCATGAAGCCCCCCCGACTCAGTCGTTACCCACAGTCGTAGATGCAAGCTCTGATGAGGAAGATCTGCTGTTCAGGGACCGAGATGCGGAACCCAGGTGGATGCAAGCCTACGAGATCCCCTCAGGACCAGATGGCAGAGTAGAAAGCCGAGCCCTACGCATCCTGAAATCCCCCGTAGTCCCAGACAAGTCGCATATACTGCGGCTCTTTCAGCTCCTGCCTGCAGGGGCCACGAAGACAGGGATACATGGCCCGTACATAGTCGCAGGAGCCTCACCGCGCACGCGACTTGATGTTCTTAAGTTCACCAAGCAGTTCCCGCTGTTTTGCCTCGTGGTAACCAAGTACCTGGCACATGTTTGTCCGGCTCATCACTACACAACCTTCGTTATAAGACGTGGCTGCTACGATACAGTGCATCGTGACATCCGTAACGGACCCACGGGGGCGGCTGTCGTAGCACTCAGCGACACGGAGGACAACGAGGGTATTTGGATTCAGGATAGGATGGGATCAGTTCCGAAGTGTTTTCAGGGGGCACACATCATGGGTACGATTCATAGCATACGTGCCCCGCATATTTTCGACTCCCGCAGGCTGTTACACGCAGGCCACACCAACAGCAATCCCTCTGACAGGTACATACTCGTAGCCTTTTCCACCCTGTATGCCAGCACCTTGTCATGGTGGGTAGATGAGGAGTTGCGCGACTTAGGCTTTCGACTGCCCAGCCTTGTCATGATTAAGTTAGCAACACTGGGATGTACACACTGTCAGAACAAACGCCTCAAACAGCTCACACTCAAGCAAGCTCTGGCCCTATCTGTGAGTGAGCGTGACCAACATGATATCATCACTATCACACAGGACTCATCACCTCACATCCACACCAGGCACCAGGTTTGAGGTGATGCTTGGCAACTTGGCGGCAGCGGGCAAGGTGTTTTCAGGGTTCGACAAGTGTCCAGGGAAGGTCTCAGGTTTGAGGTGACTCTCGGCGCCTTGGCTGCAAATTGACCGCGTGGAATACGCGCCCCCCCCCCTTTCCCTGCTATTTGTGTATTGCCCTGCCTTGCTCGCTGCCCCACCTTACTTCCTGCACTGCTTGCACTACTGTACTGCCTTTTTCCTTGCGCACTGACTGCACTGCCTTCCTTTTTGACCTTGTTTCACCTCCTCCTTTGTCTCTGCACCGGCACTGCCTGTCCTTCCTTCGCTCTGTCCTTCGTCGTCTCGTCGTCCTGTCGTGTAGCTCATGTAGCTTGTGCCAATGCGGCACTGTGCATCTCAGCCATGGCAACTCCTTGGCGCTCCACTGCAAGACCTGCCTTGGGCACCTGCCGATTGCCCGCTTTGGGTGAACCAACTGCAACTCTGCAAAGTATGCCACGCACTGCCTAGAGACGGGCAGAGAGAGTCGGCGATGCTGTGCTGCGATTCTTTACAACTGGACAGGCAATACTTGGGAACCTGTGGCGCCCGACTCGCTGTCATCCGTCACTCACCCTGCGCATGGTTACCTGATGAACCCAACAGTCCTAGCATGTGACACCTGCAAGTTTGGGCTCGTGGAGTGGTGGACATCAACTGGGCCGTGCGCGAAGGGCCGTGGAGGCTTCTAACGACAGCACTGCCACAGCGCACCAATGCCCTACGTCCTGGAAGCTAGCCACCTGGCAGCGTGAATGGATGCGTATGTCATCCAAACGTGGACGCATACTGTGCAAGCTTGCGGAAACTTTGTGCCTGTACGCAGCCACCCCGCAGTTGCAACTGATGCAGCTGTCTGCTAGAGCGGGGCGATGCCATGCGAGCTAGAACTTGCCCGACGAGTCGGCCTGAGCAGTACGAGTTCCCGTAGACTGAGAAGGCCACAAATGGCGACGCAGACCCCGTAACAAGAAAATCAAGAGATTGGTGCCACGGGGCGGCACGTAGGATAGACGGCCACCTCCCCTCGGGAATTGACGTCTTGCGTGGCCTTGACTTAGTGTTGCATCCTGCTGAATTATAGTCGATCCCGAAGGAGCTTGGCCTCTAGGTAGTTGTGTGCAAGGGCCTAGGAGTCGTTGTACTTTGTGGCACTACCTTAGTGTTGGTAATGGTGTGAGTCATGCAAACGACCGCCCAACTGTCTCCTTAGAACTGTCAAGCCTTCCAGGGGATTCCGACCCATTCTGGCAGTGTGAACGTGCGGAGTTGTGAGTTTTTGAGGTTTTGGTAATGCCTAATCGGGGTGATTTGTTGCTTCTCGCGCTGTCACATGGGTTGGGATCCGTTCAACCGACGGGCGTAGCTGTTAATGAATGCTCAGTCATCCTTTGCCTACTTGTCACCTGCAATGCAGTCGCCAGACAGCCAAGGGGGGCCAAAAAAAATATGCTGTGTTATAATGCTATACCACCCTATACTACATTATACTACGCTACACTTTACTACAGTATACAGCACCGTGACTTTCTATACTGTACTTGCTATGCTGCACAATGCAATGCAACATAATACAACACAAGTAATCGTACGTTAACGCCATGCAGCTTTTGTACGGGTATATAGCATGACATGGCGTAGCAGAATGTAACATAGCACAACATTTCACAGAAAAGAAACATAGCAACACATATCAGTGTGTTGCATCATGTTGGGCTGTGTGCATCATGTTGTGCCAGTTTCATGTTATGGTGTTGTTCCATGTTTTATTATGTGGATTTTGTTATACCGTAGTATGGTATCTTATGACAAATCATTGGTGATTCATGTCATGCCATTCATCTTGTTCTATTTTCCATCTTACGTGCAGCATGCCAGCAGCTTTCCTGCTTTAGACTTTTTGCCACTCGTCAAGAAGAATATGGTTGCATAAGTTTGAGAAGAGCTGCTATGTTAGTGCGAAAAGCACTGGAAAACAGCGACTTAGCTGGTCCGTAAGTAATGCCGTGCACTCTCTTTGTTTTTTATATCATGTTGCCTGACGTCATGCCTTTGTTTTGTTTTGTTTAATGTTATGTTAAAGAGTTTGAAGCCCAATATGGACAAAAATTTACTCAGCTGTTAAGAATTGTGAAGCCATTCAGCTGTTCTTAATATCATAGATTAACAGCTGATGCAGTACTCGCATGGTCAATATGCGGTCGATACCTACTTGATGTTAAGTATTGGGTTATGCAAAGTCAAACATTCCTAGTTACTGGCATATTGAACAGAGCAAAAGTGGATCAGTATTCGCCTAATGAGTGTGTAGCACTGCATGTTCGCAGACAGCTTGCCCGGGGTTTCATGTTATTTATCTAAAACTTCGCTGGTATTGGCACTTAGACTGGGCACACAGGCAAACGCTGAAGCAACTCAGTTGTGATGGGTGTTCAATATTCTGTCGTCTGTAATAGCTTTTACCCGAATCTACCGATTCTTTTCATCACGCAGTGTAGGCTGCATAGCCCGCTCAGAGCCAAGTAAATGTTCAATGCTTCTAGATAAAACCACAGGAAATACAGCAACAAAGCAGGAGCCCGTTTTTCGTTCTGCGATTTACTTTGTAGCATATTATATAAACCCCTAAACCCTAAACGCCTAGACCCCGTCTTTCTAAAACCCCTATATCCTAAACCCTTGTGCGTCCAGGCCTATCGCGACTGCCGGGTACCCTGAAGAAACGAAACTGAGGGCCAGCCAAATCAGCCCTAAACACGTACCGCGGCTGAGCGCCACCTTCCGTCCGGCTCCAGGCGGAGTTTACCAGCTTTGCTACGCCCCGAACGCCCAAAACGACTGTGTTTGCAGCGCCGGTGTCTGTGACCGGGACGTGCATTGCGGATTTCGGGTTCGGGTTGTGCGTATATATACATATATATATATATATATATATAGATAATATGCACATAATATTTTTGCATAGAATATTATATATATATATATATATGTATATATATATATATGTATGTTTATATATATATGTATATATAAATATATGGTTTATAGGTGTTTAGGGGACTAGGGTTTTATAGTGTTAGGGGTTGCTGCACTTTTCCTGGTAGTGACGAGCCCAGACGCAAAAAAGGGTGTAAGGCAAAGCTGAGGTACGTGCAGTCTGACTGGGGAGTCCTGCACACCCTCTGCGCTTACCGCTTTTGGATCCTGCAATCCTTTCGCGACCAGCGACAGAAGCTCGAGCAGCAGCTTGGCAGGCGCAGAAGTGTTGGACTGTAGACCCCTAGACAACCAGCTGAAGTTCTCCGCCATCTCACCAAACTAATTCCCGCGACTCAGGCAGCATTCTGTTCGCGGATGTGGTCGTACGTGGAGTTGGCAGCCCTTGCAACAGCACAGGTGCAGAGAGTGTAGGGCAAGAAATAGCATAGGGGCCTTAATAATTACCTATACTATTTTGGGGGATCCTTGTTACAATTATAGTATCATGGGCCCCCAAACCCTCTTCTAATTATGAAGGCCCCTATATTACCAAGTCTGCGACACTCATCGTTGCAGGTTGCCTGCCATTGCAGCGCTGGGACTGCTTCTTCCGTCCTGGAGCAGGTGGTGGCCTTGGAGATTGTATCAAATAAGATGATACTATATTATATTATATGATACTAGATGATACCATGACACTATGTGATACAATATAAAACCAATTTATACTTTAGTATGAACAGGAAAAACAACGCATGGTGCTCGTCGGAGGCACCGGCCCTTGCCTCCTTGACTTCACGGAGGCAACGGGTCGCAATGGCTGGACCCTCACTGCCGGAGTCCCCAGCCGTGTGCCTTGGCTCGGGCTCGGCCCATCCCAAAAAACCGTTCGGGCGTGAGGCTCGGGGCTTCGGAACATGCCCTTGAGGCGAGCTGGACCGCCGACTTCGGAGCGGATGCCTTGGTCGCCAGCGGCGCGCTTCTCCAGGACTTCCCGCGGCAGTGCCTTATTCGCACCAAGCCCTTGAACAGAAAGGGTGTGGAACTCCGTCGAAGGTTTCTACCTCTACTGCAAGGGTGACCGCGCAATATCGGGCATGACTTGTGCTGTGAAAGGTGTGGTGCGCTAGAGGCGGCGTCAACGGCTTTCCAGTCGAGAGACTCGGACAACAGGGAGCTTTGTGGCGTTGGGTCTGGCTGGGCTTTGAGGAGCTGGCGTGTCCGTTTTCAAAGCACCTTCAAGTGCCTTGGTGAGTAGTTGCTCAAGAACACATCGGTGTTCTCGGCACACGGAGCCCTACTTGTCATTCCAGGCGATGCCCTGGAACTGCCATCGGCCTTTCCTGCAGCCAGCCTCCCAGCTGTGCGCGATGATGCAACTTGGCGTGATGACCTCATGCTATGCATAGTATGACGACCCACAAGGTTTTCGTGACCAGAGCGAACCTAGGTGACAACGCCTTTCACCGTGGCACTGTGCTACTGTGGCTCTGTCCCTTGGACCATGCTGGCTTTGACGGGGGGCGGGGCAGGGTCGGGGCAGCTGCTGACTTCCTGCACCAAGGTGGGGTCATGCTCTGAGAGAGAAGATTTCGTTCAAGCTTTCGGGCGCCTGTACATGTGCCTCGGATGAGAGCCTTCGCATTTCGAAGCGCATATCTCAAGTGCAGTTCGTAGTGCATGAACACCAACGTCTGCACGCCTTGGGATTTGTGGCCAAGTTTCTTTGCCTGGGCTTAGGTGGGTCATTCACCTTTGCGATCGCGACGATTCAACCTGTGACCTTTCTAGAAGAAGCATGGACTTTTTGCTCCAGCGCATGTCGTCCTGCCGCTTGCTTTCTCTCCACTCCAGCCTTTCTGTCAGATTTTGGCACGGAGGTGATACCTCCTACTTGCGCGTGGTGCCACAGCAGCGGTTCGTGACAAAGCCGCATGCTGCAGTCAGCCCAGAATCAGGTCTTTCGTAGTTTTCGCTGCGTTGCTCACCAGCTCTTTGTTCAGACACGGGTGCGAAAGGTTTCCGCGAGCTGAGAGAAACCAGAGATAGCGAAAAGAGCAGAGTGAGCTGGAATCAGGATCTTTTGCCCACCCGGGGGCGCCTGCTTGAGCGGGACCTTGAATCGGATCAAGTTCTTGGAGGCTGGGAAGGAGGGGAAGGGGCCTGCACTCGATCTCGATGAGCTTTCCAAGAATTCAGAGACTCCAATATCCTTCAATTATGGAATAATTAGATACCTTCAATCATAGTCGGATCCCCAGTATGATTTACAAGTTTACACCGTATAGTATTCCTTAAAAGCAAGGGATATCGGAGTCTCTGGGAGCCCTCGATCTCCTTGAGCCTTCTTAAAGGATCATGGGATTTAGTAGCTAGGGTGATAATTAGGGTAACTATACTTATAACCCCAATTAAGGTACTTTCAACATTACTTACTAAGTCCCATGATCCTCCAAGTTGAGCCTTCCAAGAATTCAGAGGCCGGAGATGCTCCGCCGCGGCCGACCTGGCGCACCGACAACCTTTGCCAGCAGCAGCCGTGCCTGGGACGATTGTTTGTGGGGAGAGGCTTCACTGCTATTACCATTACTGATTACTGTTACTATTGCTTTTACCACCACGACGACGACGACGACGACGACTACTACTACTACTACTACTACCACGACGACGACTACTACGACTACTATACTGCTATTGCTAGTGCTAAGGCTATATCTCCTAGCTTCACTGCTTTGCTTTTCTTCGGCAGAGGGCGCTGTCTTGACGTGCCTTGGCAAGGCGGGAGCCCTCTTCTGTCGCGTGGCCATCTGCAGGGGACAGCCTCTCGCTGGACGGCGGCTTCCGAGTTGATTACAAGGACACTTCACTGCAGCAGCAGAGCCATGACATGAGGGTCGGATGTCGCAGAGTGCCTAAGACCGTGGGCATGGGCCGATCTCGAGCGAAGCATGAAGATCAGAGGTGTGGTCGACCTTCCGTGTAAAGCTCGTGGCGCCTCCGAAGACCACGTTCGTCGTCTGCTACTGTGGCATGGCCTGTTGTGCTCGCAGGGAGTTCGTTCGCGGCGTACTGCGGTGTATTGAGGGATGATGGAACACGATAGTGAGGCAGCGCACGAAGTGACGGCGGATGGTTTGCGACAGTCGTTGATGCCATGCACATCACAAGTCGTGTATTCGATGTAGGTCTTCTGGTTTCCAAGCAGAGGCAACGAGGGCTGCGAGTCTGCGGAGAGCTGGCTTCAGGTGGGCAGCGTGCACCCTGGCCGGTGTAAGTGTGACAGATACACGGAACGGCAATCACTGTGTGCTTGACGTGGTTCAGCTTCGTCCTGGGGTGTGGGCTTTGAGACTAGGCTTTCTTATGGGTAGTGTGAGCTTGCGGGCTTCGGGTCGAGAACTCTTCACCGCCAGTTTCAATGGCATAAAGGAGCTGTCATGGTAATTCATGGCATCCCCTGATGCTCCTACTATAATCATAGTATATATATATATATGTATATATATACACACATATACACGCACATGCACATAGACCCCAACAGCCAATGTCCGAATACTTGCAGCAGCTCTTCCGACCCTTCGGGGCCTTCTTGGCCTTCGGTGGCTTCGCCTCCAGGCAAACGGTCCTGGCTTATGCATTGGCGGCCCGGACGATGCTCGGCCAAAATCAAAAGAATAAGAATGATAATAAAGATAACAAAGATAGTAATTTAATATATTAATCAGAAGGAGTGAAGCCTAAACCTTAAGCCCTTGTGTTCTGGTCCCCTCTCTCTGGCTGTAGTAGTTTCACTTAGCCGATCTGACATCACGTGCCCCGCCTGGATTGTCCGAGTCTTAGCCCCGAAACTTGAAACGCTAAGCCCTATTGCCCTGTTTGTCTACTCTGCATGGCAGGAAGCCAGGCGGGAAGCAAGAGTTTGTCTACAGAACTTGTGTGGCTTGTTTGAGTGCGAGTGTCAAAAAAACCTTATTTGTATCCCAAAGCAACCCTCGATTGGGGGCCTCGTCCTAGCCGTGCGAGGGGGAAGAAACATGAAGAAACGCTGCTTGTATCTTCAAGTTCCAACTTACACACACATATCCCAGCTAGACAGCTTCACCAAGGCTTGGTGTGTCACCTTTCTCCGTGCCAACGGAAACCATCCGGTATGTGAACAAGCCAGGCAGGGGGGATCGTGCCGCCGGAGGCCTCATGCCTGTCATGTCCTTTTTCTGCGGAGGTAGCTTCACGCTCTTCAGCGGCATCAAATCTAGTGCCACCCCACTCAGCTTCGACGGAAACCGATTTCAAGGCGCGGACCTGAGATTGAAATCGGGAAATTGGAGGTCTGAAAGTTCGTGACTCCCAGGTGATGCCCTCCTGAAGCATCCTGGCAAAACGGCTTCTGCCTGTAGAGTGAGCGCTTTCTGCATGCTAGTTGTGTCGCGCTTTTGTGGTCTGGAGCTAAGGTTGCTTTCCTTGGACAATGAGGCCGCATGGAGCCGCATGGAAAGGGCAGCTGTCAAGTAGGCCAGGAAGAGAGAAGCAGTGCAGGTGGGAGCTGCAGGAGCGACACTGGTGGACACCTACGGTGTCAGGACTGGGTTCGTCGGTGCGGCACCAATGACGTGCGATGCACAGATAGTGATAACAATAATGATAGCGTTCGCAACAATGATAGTGATCGTACGGTTCATAGCAACAAAAGGAGTAATGAGAAGAAGAAAGGTAATAAGCCATAGAAATAATAGAAAATGATTTCTGACAATAATAAGAAGATAATGATAAGAATAATAATAACAATAGTGGTAATAAGACGTCGCCAGCATTCCTCGGAGGACCAAGGGCCAAGCCGAGCTCCAAAGCGCCTTGGATGGCGAGTGCGGCACGCGGGACTTTCCTCAGACCTTGGTGGACGCCCGGCTCGAAAGGGTGAGGGTTTAGGGTTTAGGCGCATAGTCCGTTCTGAAGAAGGGGCAGCATACGGCACCTGGGGGGGCCTTGGGCTTAGACGTTCACCGTTTGAGAAGTCGTGCCCTGTGCCCTTCGAAGGAAGGTCTGCAAAGCGCAGAGGATGCCGTCGCTCATCGTGCTAGCGCCACCGACCTCAGCAGCTCCCTGGTGCAAACTTGACACATGCATGTGCAAACTTGAAGCGGGGTTTCTGGAAGTGCCCCAGGCCACTTCGCCTTCGCAGGCGCGAACCAGGACTTGACGCTACGGCCAATGAAGGTGCCTCACGATGGGGGACAGCGTTAACTGATAGCTGAGAAGACATAATCGCAATAATCGCACGTGCGCCAGGCTGTTCGTGCCCCATCCTACCGAGGCGGGTACTCTTGTCGCCTGCTACTGCGGTGCGATCTCCGTGCAGGGCACCTGCGGCGCCACGTGGAGACTTGGCGGAAAGAGCCTCGTGGCGGAGGGGCCCAGCATCCCTTTGCTCCAAGTTAGGGCTCCTTTAAAGGGGTCGATAAGAAAAGGGTTTCTAGAAGGGATCTATAAAGGGTTTTTCGGGATCTATAAGGGGTACTATAGGGGATCTTTCTGGGGGTATTATAGAAATGTAGGAACCTGATTAAGAAGCCCTGGGCCGATAACCCCCAAATTAATAGGGTTCATACAAAGAACCCCAATAAAGGCCCAAGGTTTCTTAATCAGGTTCCTACATTAGGCTTTCTTCACGAGCACAGTCCTAACTGGCGCAAGAGCGACAAACTAACAGGCGTCCTTACAAGCAGGCCTGCAGCAAAAGGCTTTCTTCGACTGCTTTTGTTCGACTCTGCTTCTTTGCCCTTTGCGCTGCACGTTCAGGGCTCTCGAAGGAACTTTTTTACTACAAGTGTAATGATATGCCATACTGTACTATATACTATGCTATATACTATACTGCTGAGGTTATTTGCAGGGCTTCTGCAGATTGCCGGCCCCGCGGGTGGACAGGCCGGAGTTCTCGGAACGAAGGGGAGGGAATCAGAGAGGCTGAGTGAGAGACTGGGGTAATACCCAGAATAATCCTAATCATATGACATCATAAGATACCCTAAGAATATTCATAATCAAAAAACTATACCTGTAGTCAAAACAGAAAAATGATACTGGTAGTCGTAGTAATGATAATAGTAGTAATATGAATAGTGACCGTAATCGTAATCGTAAGCGCAATGGCAATGGCAATGGCAATGGTAATGGTAATGGTATTGGTAATGGTAGTAGTAACGGAAAAAGCAGTAGTAGTCATCATGACAACAGTGTATTGGGATAGTTGCAAGACGGGTTTAAGGTGGTTGAAGTTTGCCTGAGTTGTCAGGGCTCAGAGAGGGGCATAGCAAGATAAGGCAAGTGTCAAGTCGCGAAGCTCCGATATGCTGTTGCCCTGAGGCTTGGGTGTTTCCGACCAGACTTCTCGTCGGCCTGCACGACATTACAGGCCAACCCCCGAATGCGAGTTCGTTGCACGTAGGGGCTAACAAGCCATAGCACTGCTCACGAGGTTCTGCCGCAGACGCTTGAACACAGCAAGCGCTCACAAGTTAAAGTTTTCCCTACATCGCCGAGCCTGCAGAAAACCAGAAACGGCTCGCCTGAAGAGGCTGGGGCTTCAAGGTCACAGACAACCTTCGCCTGGTCACATCAAGTGCGCTTTGCGCCGCCTGGCCGCGGTGCAGTCGGGATGTCCGAAGCTCTTCAGGTCTTTGATGGCTGGGACATGTGTGATTCGGTCGGGCGCTTTTCCGATATTTCACATCAAGCCATTCTTTCATTAATGCAGTCTGACCAAAGTCGGGCAATGGTGGAACTATTGCAGCACATGGCCATAGGAAAGCATTCTAAGGTAATATCACTGCACCATGCGGCTATCATACCATCTGCAGGTTAGCGTGGAGCAAAGCCATGCGTACTTACAGTCACTGTTCTTTTGGACGGGATGTCCCATTGTGTCGTATCGCACCATGATCTACAACATAATACGGTACACAAACAGTATGGCATATTTCGACTAGGCACTGTTTTTCATAATATAAAATTCAATGTAGCAATACATAGCATGCAACAACATATCCTAACATATTACAACATATCTTAACATTATATAATGTAAGATAATTTCAATTTAATTTCAATTTAATGTAAGAAACATAAGACAATGCAAGATGATCTAATACAGTATGAGACAAAATTGAACATGACACAACAATGCAACATAACATAGCCTGGTACAGCAGAACATAATACAGCACAATATAGAAAGGGGAGGAGGATAAGATAACATGACGCAGCATAAAATAACATAACATACGCAACGTAATTTAGTTTAGTAAGACACCGCATAACTTCCGGGATGTATGCTAGTGCCCTGAGCTGCCGAGTGCGGGCGTCGGAGAGGGCTGCAAGAAAGACACAATAATAATAAAACGTAATCGAATAGACTAGAATAGAAAACAGGATAATATGAAGCCCCAGCTGCTCAAGACCTGATCCCCGAATCGTGGCAGTAGGATGTGACAGCTCGTATGAGATCCATTTGTACCCTACAGTAAGCTCAAACCTTCCGAGTTGCGAGAGTCCAAACCCTAAACCCTACGGTAAACCACAATCTAGTGTCTCGGTGATTCTGCCTCTGCCTCTGTGAAGGATGGGAGCGACGTGCCCGGAAGTGCGTGGAATCCAGAAGGTACCACTGCCATCAAGGCGGCCAGGGTTGGTGCAGTGTAAAGTGAATTTGCAGTCGCCTGTCTTTTCAGGTCGGATGCCCCTATGGCATCAATTCCTCCAAGGTCTGTGAGCCGTCATCGGTGAACGAGATGTTGCCCGTGCACTTCGGCATGGACATGAGAAATCCAAAACGGAGAGCTGACGTGTAGGAGAGCTGCTCTATCGAGTTTGCTCCGGTGCGACCTCCCAGGCAGCTTTCTGACAACCTCCGGACTGGAGTCAGCATCGTGCACTGGCACCTGGGCAAAGAACAGCCCTTTGCCAGGTTTGCAGTCCGCTGCCTCTGCACCATTACCCGGCGACTGCTGGTGATGGCAATCGTACGGGACGAGGGCACATCCGCTTATCGGAAGGTCGTGGTAGCAGAAGCCATAGTATATATCTATATAATAGAATATAACACAAAACAATGTAAATGCAATAGAATATAATATAATATATACTATAATACGTCAAGCCGTGCAGTTCTGAGAGCTCATGTTCGAAGCCTTGAGGTTGATCGAGGGGCCGCACAGCAGCGTGCTGACGTTTTCCAGCCCGGTGACGGGCCTCCTGCGAGACGGCGATGCTTCTGGGCTTGGCACAGCTTAGAATACATATATATATATATATACTAGTAATAATACTAATACTAATAATAGTAATAATAATGCACAGAATGAACTTCGGTAGGACGTTTTCGGAGCCAACCTACACAGATTGGCATGCCAATCTGCGACATAGGCAATCTACATCGAGCCGAACAGCATTCTCGTCGACGGCCGAGGTCTCGCTGCAACTCGCTCTTGGGTCAAGGGGAGCGGCTAGGGGGTTTGAGCTCCAGCAACGCGCAGATTTCAGTTGCTCTGTTTCCAGACAGGAATGTTGCCGTGCACATGCTTCAAGGACATGCGAAACCCAGCTCGGGCTGTTGAGACTTTAGGTGCTCCTAAACTCTAAGTTGCTCGAGCCAAGGCCATGACGGATACGGAAAAATTCAATGCTATGGCTCTGACAGGGATGGGCCAGTTCCAGGAGCATATCGGCGTCAGATGCAAGCTTTCCTATTCCCGGGCAATGTCAAACGGGTTCAGCATACAAACTCCTTGCACCAGGATGATGGCACGAACTTTCTGCGGCACTGGCATTACGTCCAGCTGCTGACCGCTAATGAAAATGGCCTGTCAGCAACATCGAAGGCCCAGGGGGGCATCGTTACGGAGGTAAGGTCGAGGTCATGCTGGCACCTGCTTCGGATGCCCTTTCTCTGATTCAGATGAATTGCAGGTACGAATACCTGTGGGGTGGCCGGAGGCCAGGCATGCGTGCATCATAGGATGCCTGTGCTTCGTTTCCAGAGTGTCCAGAAATAGCGCAGTGTAGATCAGTGTAGCATGGATGCACTCGCTCCAGGATGTGGAGAGGCCAGTCATCGAGCTGGCCAGCAATCAGCTGCAGCGTCTCAGCTCCAACTTTTACCGCCAGCGCGGGCACATGAAAGGCACTGGGCCCAAAGGCGGAGGCTCGACAAAGACAAGCCACGCAGACACTATGTTTGCTGTGTAGCTTCTTTCCTTATTATTTGGGCTGAGGTGGTATCGAAGCAACGTGATGAGCTCGCAGGAGGAGTTCAGAGCAAACGGCGTTGTGGCGGACTTGAAGGCTCCAAAACACGGATGCAACAAGCGTCAGTTGGGCATCGAAAGCTGCCCCCAGGTGTGCTGGGCACCAAACGAGTGACTCGACAGCAGTGTTTCTCGTGTTCCCGGCGGTCGTAGCAAGTGGAGCATCCGCAAGGGTTCGGTGCCCTTGCTTGTGCCATCGAGCAACGTCCGTCGTGCGCATGCGGCACAATTCCTAGCGCTCATGTGACGAGGTTTCCTGCGGATGGGCTCAAGCGCCGCAGTCACCGATTCTCAGGTTTTCGCTCCGAAGGCTTTCCGATTCTTCGCCATGGCCAAGGCGATCCTCGAGGCGTTGAAAGCAACGGGTGCCAGCGACGTGACCAAGGCCATCGAGGCCGTCTCTGCCGGGCTCTTCAAGATCAAGACGCTGACGGGCCGTGAGATCCTCGATTCGCGTGGGAACCCCACCGTGGAGGTGGATCTCACCACCGAGGGCGGTGTCACCGTCACTGCCGCCGTGCCCAGTGGCGCCTCCACGGGTGTGCACGAGGCCTGTGAGCTTCGCGATGGTGACAAGACGCGTTACTTGGGGAAGGGTGTCTTGAAGGCTGTGGAGTCGGTGAATACCGTTCTCAGCGCGGAGCTCAAGGGATTCGATGTCTCCAAGCAGAAGGAGCTGGATGACAAGATGATTGCGCTCGATGGCACGCCCAACAAGAGCAAGCTTGGGGCCAACGCCATTTTGGGTGTCTCTATGGCTGCGGCCAAGGCTGCGGCACAGGCCAAGGGCATCCCTTTGTACCAGCACTTCGCTGAGCTGGCCGGCAACGGGTCCAAGCTCACTTTGCCGGTGCCCTGCTTCAACGTGATCAATGGCGGCTCCCATGCAGGCAACAAGCTGGCCTTCCAGGAGTACTTCATCATCCCGGTTGGAGCATCCTCCTTCAAGGAGGCCATGCGCATCGGAGCGGAGTGCTATCACACCCTGAAGGGCATCATCAAGAAGAAGTTCGGTGGCGATGCAACCCTTATTGGAGATGAGGGTGGCTTCGCGCCCCCCTGCGATGCCAAGCAGGGCGTGGAGCTCATCATGGAGGCCATCGAGAAGGCGGGGTACAAGGAGAAGTGCAAGATCGGCATGGACGTGGCGGCCTCTGAGTTCAAGGTGGAGGGAGCAGACTGCTACGACCTCGGAACTTGGTATGCCGAGGCGGAGAAGACCCCTGAGCTGAAGATGACCGGGGTCCAGCTCGCTGACTTCTATGCCGACCTCTGCAAGAACTACCCATTGATCACCATCGAGGACCCTTTCGATCAAGACGACTGGGCGGCATGGACGGCCTTCACCGAGAAGGTCGGTGGCCCGACGCAGGTGGTCGGAGACGACTTGACCGTCACCAACGTCACTCGCGTCAAGAAGGCCATCGATGACAAGGCCTGCAACGCTTTGCTCTTGAAGGTGAACCAGATCGGCACAGTATCCGAGTCCATCGATGCCGTGAAGCTTTGCAAGATGAACGGATGGGGTGTGATGTGCTCCCACCGCTCCGGAGAGACGGAGGACACTACGATTGCCGACTTGGCTGTGGGTCTCTGCACTGGTCAGATCAAGACCGGTGCGCCCTGCCGCTCCGACCGCAATGCGAAATACAATCAGCTCATGCGCATCGAAGAGGAGCTTGGTGACAAGTGCGCCTATGCCGGAGAGAGTTGGCGCAAGCCAGTTTGGATGGCCTAAGCGCCCAGGGGCCCAAGGCCCTTCAGGGCTCTGACTCCCGCCTATTTCCCCCTGCCACCTGAGATCAGAGCGCAGGCAGCTTCAAGGTAAGCTGCCTGTCAAAATGCTCGCGAGATCAGAGACAGATGTAATACAGTAATACAGGTATAATATGTACATTTAGTACATGTTACATACCTCTTTACCCATATTTGATTTTACGTTGCATGAAGGTGGCAGAAGATGGAGAGAACGAGCCAATTTTGACATCGATTCGTCAGCAGTGACAGGGCTGCTTCACCATCAGCTGAGCTGGAGTTTAGCTGATGTGCTGGATCGGGCAGATACGGTTAGGATGCAATGTAGCTATGGACATTCCTGAAAGATACTGCTGGTCTAGGCCTTGGTTTCTGTCTCTTGCCAGCCACCATTTTCAAGAGGCCGCGTGCACAATGCCTCGGACCAGCTTTCAATGAGAGAAAAGGTACGCTTGGTCGAACGCTGTGCAATAAGCAGAGTCACATTGACAATTGATATATCTATTATTTAGCCAGGTAGCTAGCTAATTATCTGTCAGTTTGTTCATCTGCCTGTCGATCTGTCTACCTTCCTGTCGATCTATCTGCCCACCTTTGTTTCTTTCTGTGCTTGTGTCACGTCTGTCCTTGTATTGCTTCTGCCGCGATACACGCGCATACCATGCACATGTGTGTAAAAGTAATTTAAAATGCAAGAACCTTGTTAGGCACCTCTAACCCTAGACCTTTTGGCCTATACCCTAAACTCCAAACCCTGAGCCCTGGACGGGAAACCCTGAACCCTAAACCCCGGAGGGCAAACCCTGAACCCTAAACCCTGAACCCGAGTGTGAGCGCCCAAACCCTGAACCCTACCCTCATAAACCCTCTTCTGGAAGCCATGGACCTCGTGACCACCACCAGTCCTCCAGAGGAGGACTTTCTGAGCCGGTTCGGGATCCTGGGCTCTTGTTAAGGACGTGAAGTTTACCAGAATACAGGGATCTATAGTAACTGATACGGTTTCATTTAGTTTATGTAAGCTTATGTTATCTTAATTATCGGGATCTATAGTAACCATATAGTATGGTTTCCTTATTATGGTAACTTTTCTTACACCCTTAAAGCAAGAGCCCAGGATCAGCCTCCCGGCCCTGGTCTCCGTCTCCCTGGGTCTTGGCATCTGCGGTTTGCTTTGCCTCTGCGTACTCTGTCCGATCCTGGCCAGTCCTCGGGCGCTGAACATCTTCCGCATGAACGCGCCCGAGCGCATGGAAGCGAAGAAGAGGAAGCAGTTGGACAGCATCTTGGAGCTGAAGCGGGAGGTGAAGAATTTGGAAACCCGAGTCCAGGAGCACGCGACCGCGACAGACGATTGGGGCATGTCACACAAGGTGCAAAGCGAAGAGCAGAGAATGCTCGAGCGACAGCTGGATCGCAAGCGAAAGCAGCAAGCCAGGATGGAACGAGCTGCCGAATCAGGTGAGCAGAAGCAAGTCAACAAAGAAGAGCAGGTTCAAAAGGAACGATCAGACGACGAGCGATATCGTCGCATGAAGGAGGCCTACCGGCCCAACACCATCGCAGTGGACGGCATGGTGCTGCGAGCGCCGGAGTCAGTGCTCCTCGAGCTGGGTTTCGAGCCGGAAGCATTGGAGGCTTTCTCCATGCCAGGCTTTTCCAGCATGGACGCTGGCGGAAAACTCGAGGATGAGGGCGAGGAGGAAGAGGAGGAGGAGGCTGCGAAAAACGAGGATGAGACTGGTCCTCCGCCGATTCCGGATGATGCGGCGTCAGAAGAAGCTTATGACCTGCCTGCCCTCCAGGACGCAGCGCGGAACGCCAAGTTCGACGATGCGGCGCTGCGCATGCCTCCCGAGCTGGACGAGGCTCCGAGCATCGCCAGGGAGGGCGCCGGGCTCCAGCGCCGTGGGGCCATGGCTGGTCCCAAGGAGGGCCGGGCCATGGACGTAGAGCTGCTGAAGCGCGCTCAGCGGAAGGCTGCTGGCCTCAAGCTTGGAGCCGAAATGTACCAAGAAACTGAAGTGGACAAGTGGATCGGACCTGGCGCAGAGCCCATCTCAGCGCCAGACGCTTCCTGCAGCCGCGCAGGCAACGAGCAGCTGCTGGACTGGGATGCGCTGGAGGTGGACGAGGAGGCGCTGAAAAAGGAGAAGATAAGGGAACGGGCCAAGGCCACCTTGGCGAAGCAGCGGCTCCGAGCCATCACGGAAGGTGAGAAGAAGTCCACCACAGCTGCGGAGTCCGAGGACTCGCAGGAAGAGGACATCGAGGAGAAGCTGGCGCGAGCTGCTGCACCCATGGCAGAGGGTCCTTTCATGAGCCTTTGTCACAGTTGGGTAACATTTTACATCTTTATGGGTACTTAAACCCAATAAGGAATAAACACGTACATCTTTAATCCTATCCCAACGATGAACTAGGAGCGTCTTCAAGAAGGAGCCGGCCAAGCCCGAGGTTCACACCGCCGGGGATGCCCAGGAAACGGCCGGATCGGGATCGGAGCACGCTGGCATGCCAGTCCGCCCTCGGGGCCTTGGCGCCCCCCGTCGAGACATACGCCGACGATGAGCAAAGATGGTTTGCCATGAGGCCGCTTCAGCGCGACGAAGACGAAGCCTGATGACCGGACTCCCGAGGAGAAGCCGTCAAGTCAAAACAGCGGATGGGCTTCTTCCAGCAGATTGAAGCCGACGACCTCGAGGTGGAAGAGCCTGGGGCCGGAGCTCCGGCCTGCGAGCCACTGCTCCCGCGACGGGCTCCGGAGCGAAGATAGCGAAGCAAGTCCTGGTTTTGTGATCGTCGCCTGGCGAACTTTCCGTAGGACTTCGCCAGTGCCATTCAGGCGTATACAACGTCCAGGACCTCACCAATGCCATTCAGCAGTACATAATCGCGGAATCGTCCATCGCGCCACTTGTACCTACGAACATCTGACAGTGTAAACCCCGTGGCAGAGACAGCACAGAAGCAGGTTGTTTGAATGAGTGCTCGGGCTACCACTGCCAAGATTCCAGAATGCTTCCAGATCTTTTGAAGTTCGCTGTAGTACTACATGACCGTGCCTGCAAAAAACAAAATCTTGAGTGGAGATTCGGTCTCCTGAGCCCATATCTTCCAAGAGTTGATTCTGCCAGATGGAGGGCATGCCTGTTTATTTTGGGAGAGTTTATGGCTTAGTTGTCATCCTTTTCAACATAGTTTCAGATGCCGTTGATCGGCGGATGCGAAAGCTGGCTCCGCAGTCAAGCTGCTAGAGCTGCTGGCTCCAACTCCGGGCGAAGTGGAAAGCCTGTTGCAAAAAGGCCTCACGCGTTATTCCGACGTTTTTGTGGATTGGAGGCTCCAGTCTTCTGTCTCGCTTACGTTGTCACCTCAGTCGTCGTGCTGGAATCCGCGCCTGCATTGTGTCGAAGCCCTGAACCCTCCTGCCTTGTGCGAGTGTGAGCGATGAAACCTCTAAGTAAACCCTAATCATAATAAGGAACCCTTTTCTTGGAGGTTCATGGGTAGTTATAGGTGGGGTTTTAAGTAGGGTAACCATAATTACAACCCATGTTAGGGGACTTATCACCCGACTTGTAGCACCCGTGAACCTTCAAGTCGTGCTTCTTGAGACCCCAGAAACCCTAAACCCGAAACCCTATAGATCCCTTAAAGGAGCCCTTATGGCACCCTTTAAAACCTTCTCTAACACTTTTGAGCTCTTAAAGGAACCCTTGTAAATTATAGTACCCCTAATGTTTAAGAAGGAACCCCTATACTAAACCCGAAACCTATAGATCCCTTCAATGAACCCTGATACCACCCCTAAAATCCCTTAACTATACTTTTTTCAAGGAGCCCTTATACTACCCCTACTATCCCTTAATTGTAATAAGGGACCCCCAAAAAGTGCTTCTTGCGACCCAGAAACGGGCTCTCGTTCTTCTACGGCGATGCGGGAAGGGCCACTTTCGCTGAGCCGCCCGAGCTCCTAGGCCGGGGCCGAAGCTGACGCCGGGTTTTGAAAGGTTAGGGTTAGTATCACTACTACTGTTATTATTATCATTATTATTACTGTTGCTATTACTGCTATTTTTATTGTTATCACTACTGTTATTGTTTACTAACTATTGTTATTTTGATTTTGTCTATTATTATAAATTGCTTTCAGGGTTTCAGGTGGTGTTTCAGCCTTTAGGGTTTGGGGGTCTATTGGACTCAGGGGTTGCAGGTCATTGCAATCCCCTGCTGAAAGAGGCAAGCTTGGGCTTTCGCGCGATGAAAGAGCCTGCTGCACGTTGTGGGCCTTTGGGCCTGATTGGGCCTGGCAGTTGTGCCTAAACCCTAAAAAAAAAACCATACTGGGACTTGAGATCCTCGCCAAGGTATGTCCGAGAGTGGGTGCTGAAGCCCTAAACCCGAACCTACTTCTGCAGCAGACCTTGCCAGGCTAGTCCGAGAGTGAGTGTCAAACCGTAAACCCTAAACCCTAAGCCAGAGAATAGAGTCACAGGTTTGGCAGTGCTTCGGCTTTTCGGGCGCCAATGGCAGTAACTTGCGTGGATGCTACAGGTAAGCCTAGTAGTAGAGTAGGTAACCTTTAACCTTTTTGGGTAGTATAGTCCCTATATAATCCCTTTACCACCAAACAAGTTAGCCTTTACTTCCCCATGATACCCGACAAGTAGGTAAGACACAGCACATGGTGGGGAGCCGGGCCATGTTGCCCTGGAAAGCAGGTGCACGGCTTGCTCTGACGACCCGCCTTTCAGGAGCATCAGGGCAGGTGGTTTGGCGGGAGATGGTGGAGAAGGTTCTTAAGATTTACAATGTCATAAATAGCTAGGTTAATACCTATGTATTTGTATATGTGGCACCTATGTGTACATGCATATGTGTGTGTATAAAATATCTACGAGGACATACACACATACGCACATGCATAGATGCATTCATGCATATTGCTTGCTTTGCAAACTAATGCATGCATGAATGTATACATGCCCACATGCACACGCACACAGATGCCTGCCACACGCGCATGCATGCTGACATCCATTCATCCATCCACCTCTCCGTGCATCCCATCAATCCATCCATCCGTTTATGCATGCACGTTTGCATGTATGTTAAGCACACACATGCCCAGAGAATTCCAGAGATATGCACAGGCAGGAAAAAGCCACACCCACTCATAATCATACATGCTTGCATCTACTTACGCCTATTTGCAAATACTTACACATACAAATGCGCGGATATGTACATACATGCAAGCATGCAAATTCACGTACATACGTGCGTACATACGTACCAACATATGTCACATACATGCACGCACATACTCATACACGCATGCATGCATGCGTACATGCACACCAGTACATGCATAAACACATTCATTCATTCATACATACATGCCAGACCCAGACCCGCTTATCCACACACACACACACTCCCGTAGATACATACATACACATTCACAAAAAGATGCACGTACATATGCACATGGCCGTGCCCACACACATGCATGCCTGCATGCATACGCACGTAGATACATACATATGCACACAGACTTAGCACATAGACGTAGTTCACATACGTGCACATACATGCACATACATGCAAAAGCTTTTGAACACGCATGCGCGCACACACACACACACACATATATATATATATATGGTCACGCGCTCCGCGGCCCCCCCCCCTCCCCCCCCAAAGGTCAATGGTCCGGATATAGGGTGGGACCCCCCCTCCCCTGTGGTGTGGGGTGTGGGGTCCCTCTTCCCCCTGTGGGGTGGTTGTGGGGTTTTGGGGTTTAGGGTTTAGCTTAAGCTTTTGAGTGTTGGGTTTACGGTTACAAGGTATAACGCTTCGAGTCGACAAGGGCTTAGGGAGGACTTGCGGTGTATGTTCTGATTTAGGCTTAGAGCCTGCAGTTAGGTGGGGTTTAGGGTTGGGTGCAGGGTTGGAAGTACAACTTAAGGTTACTCAAAACAAGGGCACGCGTTGCGTTATAGGGTTTACGGCTTGCTTGCGAAGGGCTTGCGTGTGAGCCCTGGCCGCCAGCACCATCCCACCATCCAGTGACAGCTCCAACGGCTCCGACCCCTGTCCGCACACGCCAGCCCCACCCCCCCCACCCTAGCAGACCATACCATTGGGGGGGGGGGGGGCTGGGAACGCCAGACGCTGACCATATATATATATATATATATATATATATATATATATATATATATATATTACATATATATACATGTATATATATATATATATATATATATATATATATATATATATATATATATACACATGTACACACAATTACAGACACATGAACATGAACATGTATGATTACATGCATGCGTACATACTTACTTACATACAAACCTTCACAAGTATCAGCACCAATATAAATACGCACGCACATACGGACCAATTTGCATGCATGCATGTATGTATGCATGCATGCACGCACGTATGCATATGCATATGCATGTATGTAGGTACGAGTATGTACATGTGTGTGTATGTATGTCCGTACATATGTATGAACCCGTGTACGTACGTGCGAAATCGTGCGAACTTGCGTATGCATGTACGTATGCCACGTACTTTATATGTGTGGCGGTTCATGTGTGTGTAACTTGCTGTGGCTTGGGCCCATACCACCTCCAGGTATCACCTCCCTTGCATGAGGTGCTGATATCGTTCTCGCCAACGAGAGCGGTGGCCGAGTACCGCTTCTCGGATGGAAAGATATGATTCATCTGACTAGGTAGGTTAGGCCTAGAGGGGCCAAAAGGGGCTTAAAGGTGTGTTGCATTGTGTTCCAGCTCTCTCCAAATAGTGCTGTGTACTGTGAGACTTGCGCAGCAACTCTTCCCTCAACCCTAACCCCTAAATCCTAACCTCGCCTGGCTTGTCCGAGTTGTGAGAGCGTAAATCCTAAGTAGGAGGCTTATGCTCAAGACTCGGTGGCCTCCTGCATCAGGGCGCTCCGTCGGGCGCATGCTGCTGGTGATCCGCTTTTTGGACACAGGTAGGGAAGCTCAGAGTTTTGCAGGGTTGGAGTAATTTAGAGTGTCCTGATCTTCCATGAAGCCCTAAACTTCTGCTGCTTGTTCGATGCGCTTGTCTCCAGCTGTTGTTTCTGCACCTGCTCCACCTACAACTTGCACACTCACTGATTTGGTTTGCGTGTTTGCACACCGGGGCCTTTCATGAAGCTCAATCAACCGCATGAAAAATGCTGCCAGCTTTTTGCGTGCAGCGACGGCCTTTTTGGAAGGCAAGTTGCGGCTGGCCACCACTGCTGCGCAAGGCAGGTCCCAGGCCAGAAGATGCTGGTTATAATAATAGTCATGATCACGATGAGCAAAAAGCAATAACATTGAATGATAATTACAATCCCCGGATATGTATTGGTACTACTAGTAACCGCAGATACTTACAGTACTTCTTTCTGACGCTCGTGCGAGGGCCTTGGTTGGTAGCACAGCTTTGTCACAACACAGCCTTCCACCTTCCACTCGCGCTGCAGATCAGACGACCTGAATCGAGACCTCTCAGAACAGAAGTTTCTAGCGGTTCTAGCGATTTCCCATGTATGTTTGGGGCTCCACGGAAGAATTGGTTACTGTACTAATTTTGGTGCAGCAGGCAGTTGATGTTGCCATAAAGCGGACCCGGACGGCCTATGCGGCTGAGGTCCAGGCATGCCTTGTACTCCGACTCTAAGTCCATACTTCTGTCGCCCATGCAAAACAACCCAATGTGATGTGTGGAGGTCCGCCGAGTAGAAGGCCTTTGAACATGCTGAGGCCGATCAGGCAGAAGAGGCTGCATGAAAATATCATAAAATTCGTCAGCACACTTCAGCCACGGATTCAGATTCCTGGATGCCGCAGCCAAACACTTTGACCCGAGGCCAAACGTCCAACCCCGAAAAATCCAGGCCGCCTGCGGCCTGCTCTTCCGAGAGCTTTGGTCAGATGCATTGGGCAGCTTTCCCGTGCCACGAGGTCCCCTTCCTGTTTTCCGCAGCTCGTGCTTCGCACTCGCTTCGCTGTGCAAGTTTTGTGAAAGGATGCTGGCTTGAGGATGTGGGTGCCAATGGGGAGACCGGTCAGCAACTCTGGCTTGTAAATGAACATTGACACTTTAGCCTAGCAGTCTTATGGGAGTTTCCGAATATTAGGGGTACCTGATTTTGGGGTCCTATAATACCCCCTTATAGGTCGTCCACGGAGTTCACAAGTTCAGCAGTGGATGAGGCAAGAGCTCTCCATCTTATTCGAGCGCTTCTCTGGGCTGCGAAACCGATGCGGCACCAGCTCTTGCACCTACCAGTTGGTCCCTTGCCTTGAAAAGGTTCCGTCCGTTGGGCATTGGGCATCTGAACCCTGAACCCCATAGCCCAAACCAAGGCATGAATCCTGCAGGATTGTGGTGCTCATGTTTACTTCTGGAGGCTAACTTTTCTGTTTTGTCGGGAAAAACGTCCAAGAACTTGAGTTGACCTATTACTGATAGGGCACCACCGACAGTGCAGAGGTTTTCATGTCCCTGTCAGACTTGCCGGCACCACATACTACGGAGGCCACGTAGAGGAGCTAAGCTGCAAGGTGGGACGGCCCAAACAGCGAAAAAAGGTACTGTTATATAGTGAGGCTGTAAAGAGCCTTACATCTCATTCTGGAGGTTCAGACCGGCTTGTTTTCCGCGAGCCCGGCCTGCCTCATGCAGTGTGTAAGCATCCCACCAAGTTTGATATCCTGAACAAAAATCGTTTTGCTTGACGAAGTTGGGTAAGTTGGGGGAGCTGGAGACACATCGCTGAATTCCCCCGGGTCCGCAAACCATACACCCTTACATGCAAAAACAAGCCTCAAACCCTCAGGCCCCAGCCCAATGTTGTAAGCTTTAGAAACTATGGCTCCTGGAGGACCCAACACAGATCACACCCATGAGCCATGAGGTGCTGGACGCAGTGGCGGTGAACCTGATCCCACTGGAAGAGGTCTTGGACCTGGATGTAGCTTGCTTCTATGCTGATGGAGGCCGGCCCTAATAGAGCAGCACCTTTCTTCCCCACACTTACTGACCGCCTGAGACTGACATTCTGGTAGCCACCTGCGCAAGCGAGAGAGAGTGGCAGCAAACCGGTGAGCGAAGGGCAGACAATTTTGGTCCAAACATGCCATCGCGAGGGATTAGGGTTTGGGTCGTAAACCATTTGCCTGGCCCTGGACCTCATCCCTCAGGGGTCACGTTTTTAAGCCGAGCTTTGACCATGGGGCAGCTGCCGCTGCGAAGAAAGACTGAAGAAAGTATGCTTGAAATTGCAAATACACAGCCCAAACCTCCAACCACGAACGCCACCCTCGGACCAGCTCGATCACTTCAGCAATCAAAGCAGCACATTCAGATCCTGCGACACCCGGATGCATGTGTGAGAAGAGCTCGGTCGGGCCTGACTTGCTCGGCCCAAACTCCCTTCGGATGCAGTGGGGTTTGAGATGCTCGGGTGTCCCCGACTTGAGGTTCCGCAGAGGTTGATGGTGGCACAAGACAGCGGGTTTGCTTCTGTGCCCTGTGGAGAGGCTGTGCGAAGCGCTACCAGGTTTACGAGCGAGCAAGTAGTCTCGGCTGCATTGGCGACTGCCCGTGTACTGGCTTCTGAGTAGGATCCACTTTTGTGTGCTGCTTCCGTGAGCAGTTGGATCCAATTGCCATGTGAATGCGATGATGTTACCCAGACGTTATCATCATTATCAGTATAATGATAAGTATGATTACAACTACTATTATTGTTGTTTTTCCTTCATCATGAGGTATTTTGAGTATGATTATCAGTTTTGTTATTATTGTTATTCTTGCTCCTACTAGTACTACTGTTATTACTGGTGTTCGTTATCTTCGGGGACAGCTCTGAAGGTGTGGAGCTGCGCGAGGGAGGCACCGAAGCGGCTCCGAGCGCCAGCTCGGGGCTCGATCTTGAGCTCCAGAACGCAGACAGTGAAGCCGGGTATCGATTTGGGATACTTCTCAATTTTTCTTCTTGTTTATAGCTTAGAGCCCTACTTATAGATAATCTTGTAGATTGTGGGTATCGATTTGGGATACACGTTTTGAATTTCCCGTATTGTTAAGCATAGAGCCTTAGTTATGGGATACTTGTCAATTTCCCTTGTTGCTTAACATAGAGCCTTATTTGTAGCTAACCTAATGGGCTGTTGAAATCAGCCTAGGAGAGGGTACAGCACCTCGTCGCTGGGGCGGTAAATCTGACACTGAGCCTCTCGGCATCAAACCTTCCTGGCATCGAGCAGGGCAGCTACCTCCGTTTGTATCTCCTGCCCATCACACAGTGGAGTTTGCCCATCGGCGCATGCAGCTCCTCTTGTGCCGCTTCTCCGGGCTATGACTGTGGGATCCCGGACTGCTTGGTCGAGCAACTGCTTCCCATGGTCTTCCGGAGCTACCTGGAGCGCTACGTGGTCCTGCGGGTGCAGCTGCCCGCGACTATGGACACTGCCGTAGGCAACATCGTGCACACGCTGTCCATCTTGAGCTTGCCGAGCCTCGCATGCAGCTGGTCGCAGGGTGGCAGGTGTTCGGGACTTTCGTGGCTATTAATGCACTTGCTTTGTGGCCACAGCGTGCAGGAATCCGACCACCGATCTCTTTCCGATGCAGCTCCCAGCTCAGCTTAGCAACAGTGAGGATGCGGAGCCGCAGTGGCCTCGGCTGCAAAGTAGCGTGCTCCCCACTTCGAAAACTCCAAGCACGTTCCGTTGAGATGCTGACTGCAACTGATGCCAAGGTACCTTCCAAACGTTGGCTATCTCTCCTACCTCTCAGAAGGCAGCTCGCCCTCTAGCCTTCAAGCCGGACAAACTTGTGATGCTGGTGCCTCATGTGCTCAGGAAGCCCATCGTCCCTGGCGCGGATACTGCAAACTGGGCGAGAGGCCGTTTTCTTTCTGTCCATGTGGTCGCTTTCCGCCGGATGCTCTTTACAGCTGGATCTGAGTTTCTTTACCCAAGCAGCTCTCTCCGTCTCGCTTCGTTTCTGTTTGGTCGATCATGGAGCGAGTGGAGAATGAATTGGCAGGTAACTAGTTTGTTCTCGATCTTGGATCATTATTCTCCTTGTTATTACTATTATTATCAGATTATCAACATTTTTAATTTTCATTTTTATGATTACTATTGCTATTCTTATGATTATTGGTATTTTGATTTTGCCAGGGCTCGGGACCTCGACCGTTCGTCGGCCAGCGGAACATGCTCTACGCATCTTTACGGCAATTGGACCTATCCTGGCATCACTTCGACTACTTAAAGGATCATGGGAACCTCGCCTGGCATGTCCGAGTTGTGAGAGCGGAAAGGATCACGGGACTTAGTAACTAGGGTTGTGCTTAGGGTAGCTATACTTACAGACCCTAACTTGCGGGCTTTCTATTTGCACCCGCACTGACAAGGTTCAGATAGGCTTCGGTGCGACTACTGGAGGAGTCACCACGCTCGAGCTGCACCGCTGCAAATGGTTTCGCACGTCAGTTCCATGCTCAAGAGCTTATAACGGAGGCAAGCTTTTGCATGAGGTGCAAGGATGCGGTTCCGAGACTTGTTGTGAAGGCTCCGCCGTAGATTTGCGGTGAAGATGTAAGGGGGTGCATGCATCTACTGTGCGTGGCACCTGACACTACTGGCACGCCTCTACCGGCGCGCCGATTCGCATCCTGAATGTTGCAGCTTCCGAGGCTGCATCCTCCTGCTGGGTTGGCATGTCAAGTCCTCGACGGGGGCCACGTGCCTCATGAGTTGGACAACAGTGACTGGGCAGCACTTGCCAGGATGGCAATTGTCGGCTTCGGCCGGTTCCGAAGTTGAACGCCGAAGTGGTCAGGTACAGTGCTGGTGAGTGAACTGCCGCTGGCTGGGGGCGAGATGGCTCCCTTTGACGATGACGTGCAGCCGCTCGCACAGCTACAGAACGTGTGGAGGGATCACTTGGATTCTTGATGATGATCACGACATTCGGCGGGTTCCGAGAGCCCTGACATGTCACAGTCAGCAGCTGACCGAGTCGCTGACTGCCTGCCCCCTTGGTCTATCAGGCTGTGGGAGAGGTACAGGCCTTGCGCTCTAAGAGTCATGGAACGGAGATGAATGGAGGCAGTCAGAAGTAGGGACGGTGTTCAGTCATGTACAAGCTACGTTGCAGCTGGCATCCATTACACTCATGTCTGTCTGACGGCTAGACGGGACTGGGTCGGCCGGTTAGGACCCTATTTCTGCTGGACCGGAACCTGGACGGCTTCCCCGACTTCGTTCGAGGATTTTCGTATGCCAGTTGCAACTGTAAGGGTATTATACTAGGGTATTAGGATATTATTAGGGTATTATATTATTACCTAGCTGCTTCTGCAGTTTGTCTGGAAGTTCGTGTGCCGACGAGAGGAGAGTTGGGCGCTTCCGGGGAGGGCTCTTGGCTGACGTCTATGGGAATGACACACTGCCTCTACACGTCGCTTGGCGAAGACAGTAGAATGTTAGAATGCCATGATGCTAAAATACCACTTTGATGCTACCCTCCTATAGTTGCCTATAGGCCTATAGTTCTATAATACTACAATACAATTCAAACGGTAATACAGCACGGCTCCTCGATGAACCGATCCACGGGCCAGTTAATGAAGTGGACTTGTATCGCAACACACCTTGCCAGGCTTGTCCTTGAGTGAGCGTCAGAAATTGCAGTGAAAATGCAATGCTACTAGAGAATGCTATGCGTCCTGTCGTCAAAAAAGCCGGACGGCTTCCCAAGTTTCTTGCAGGACAACCATTGCGACAGTTGGGTTGGGTTGGGATCAGAGTATGTCAACGGCAGTTAAAACACGTACTGCAAGCTGCCTAGAGAATTGGGAGCATTGAAGTGCAACATGGCTTTTCCTGCTTTTATACGGTCTAAAAGGTTCCAACCCACCCCACCCCCCAGGCCCTGCTTGATTCAACACCCCAAACCTTGCCTCCCTGAACTTAGTTGAGGATCGTGCGCGAAGGGGAAGCTGACTCCCCGTCACCATTTCAACAGACTCGCTAAGTTTAGAGGGGACCACGGTCCGAAAAGCGGCGGTTGTCAAGTATGAGAAGAGCAGGAAAATCCCTCCAGTGCACACTGAAAGTCGCTGTTCTTCATGCCAGGGAACCCTGAAAGAGCTGCCATGAGCGGAGGTTTGCAGCTGGCCAAAAGATGCATGCCGGGCAGCGCGTCTTCTTCACCCTGCAGACACTGAACCCACTGGAGCCCATGACGCAGTGGCTGGGCAAGTTGTCGGGAGTGTGGCGTTCCGCCTTCGCATCTAGATCACTTCGCCTAGTTGCCTGCTTGTCTCCTTGTTCCATGAGCAGTGAAAGTGTCCCAGAAGCTGGTTGTTATGCAACCCTAAACCCTAAACCTCGTGGCCTTGCCAAGGCTCTCTGCCTCTAATCAGTGGAAAGTGCGGCTATCAAGCGCCGGCGAGCAGCTGCCGCCTGGATGTTGACTACTTAGAGGTTCATGGGTAGCTATAAGTGGGGTTATACTTCCCCGTACTATGGGTTATAATCATGGCTACCTGAAGTATAACCCCGCTTATAACCAACTATAAACTTTTGGCGGCTTCACCGCGCAGGACGCAAGATCTTCGGTTCTTGCAATATAGTGGGGTAAATAATTACCTGTACTGTTTTGAGGGTTCTATTATGCCAGCCAAGGTCGAGCACTACATATGCCCTCGCCTGGAACTTCAGTGCGTCAGCGGATCCCATGGAGTCAGACCTTTGGGCAGCTGGGCAAAGGGTTCAGCTCGAAAAACCTGATGCGATTGATCGTGCAGTTCTGTGCACATGCTCTCTGGCAGCGGAGGTTTCGAATGTTGCTGTTTTGGAGAAGCTGTCTGCGACAATGTGCCCTGGCCTGCTTCCGTGAACACATGTCGCCTTAACGTTTATTTGCGACGTGTTGCAATCAGCACAGAGTCAAACAACCAACTCGGAAGCGGGACTCTGCAGCGAAGCTGTTCTGCGCTGCAGGCAACCAACCGTCTTCACGGTCAGCAGCCAGAACATCCTGAACGTCTTCATATCCTTGGTCCAAGACCTGGGCCCCAGCGGCACCATCGCACCTCGCGTGCAGATTTGAGGCTACTGCCGGTGTTGTAAGTTCGACCTTGTATCACGGGCTACAGGCACTGCCGTCAACAAGTAGAGTGTTTTTACCATCTATCTGTGAGTTTCCGATAATTAGGGGCACCTTATTTGGGGTCCTTACAGTAAGGATGGAACTATTTAGGGTGCTATATTAGGGTCCCTATTTTCGGAACCCTCCCATGTGGCTCTGGCTCTCAGTTCCTTCGGCTGAGGTGATAGATGCGCCTGTGGGCTTCGACTTTACGGGCTGCGTCCCCAGTCATCTGAACGACCTGATCTACAGCACTGAAGGTTTGGGAGGCCAACCGGGGGGGGGGGGGGCTGATCTGGGGGGGACGGGAAAAGAGTGGCTAGCTGCTGGTCTCTGGCGGAAATACTCTGGCTTTACCAGCCTGGAAATGACGACGACTAGTAGTAGTAGTAGTAGTAGTAGTAGTAGTAGTAGCAGTAGTGTAGCAGTAGCAGTAGCAGTAGCAGTAGTAGCAGTAGCAGTAGCAGTAGCAGTAGTAGTAGTAGTAGTAGTAGTAGTAGTAGTAGTAGTAGTAGTAGTAGTAGTAGTAGTAGTAGTAGTAGTAGTAGTAGTAGTAGTAGTAGTAGTAGTAGTAGTAGTAGTAGTAGTAGTAGTAGTAGTAGTAGTAGTAGTAGTAGTAGTAGTAGTAGTAGTAGTAGTAGTAGTAGTAGTAGTAGTAGTAGTAGTAGTAGTAGTAGTGTAGTAGTAGTAAGTAGTAGTAGTAGTAGCAGTAGTAGCAGTAGTAGTAGTAGTAGCAGTAGCAGTAGCAGTAGCAGTAGTAGTAGTAGTAGTAGTAGAAGTAGTAGTAGTAGTAGTAGTAGTAGTAGTAGTAGTAGTAGTAGTAGTAGTAGTAGTAGTAGTAGTAGTAGTAGTAGTAGTAGTAGTATTGCATTGCAAACGTCGCACAAAATCCGAGTGCCAGACGAGGGACAAGGCAGTATGAGACTATTGCAACATACCGGCCGCTCAGTGGCGGCTGCATCGATTGATGCCCCTTTGTTTCTGCTGCTAACTACTCGCTGCGCTTGCCACTAATCCATCTCCTCGAAGAAAGAACTGCACGTGTTTGATCTCTGCGAACTTTCAGCAGCTGGCGATCTCTGAGTGTTTGCCTCTGCACGGCCTCCTTCGGAGGCTGAGTCGGAGTCCGGAATCACAATGATGTGACCACCGGCTTCTGTCTCGTCCGTGCCAGCTGAGCGTACCGAGGGGTTCCCATTGGCTGTCGCCGCCATAGGCGCAGCCTGACCCTGCGATCTCAGATAAAGCTGCCTATTTTCGCAGTGGGTTGTATGAGCGCGTCCATCGCTATCGACGCATAAGCTGCAGCACCGAACATGGCCCAGGCCTGAGGTCCTCAGACAGGTGGTCAGCGCGCAGACAGTAAGCACACCACGTTGTTCCCGACGGTGGGCTCGCTGAGTACGTCTGACATAGGCTTGATGATCATGATCACACCGGGGAGTGTGTCCCCCAACTGAGCATAAGCTGCAACACTGGCGGTGTTTGGTCTTAACGTAGACCCTCATGCATCCCGGCACCTGACATGTACGACCAGGACGCACTGCAAGGATCGGTCGCCATGTGTCGCCGTCGCCTTTAGGAGGGCCTCGATCTTCACCTCGTCGTTCGTTCCTGCTGGCTCCACCATCAGCGGCAGCTGCAGCGCCGCCAAGTCCATGTGCCGCAGTTGTGGAGAGCATGACCTGAGTTGAGTACAGTCACAGCATTCCAATTTATGGCACCGGCACCAACTCGCATGCTGGCAGGCATCGCCATGGATTGTTTATGCACTGGAACTGCACATGTGGGTCGCACTGTTTCTCAGAGGTGAGATTAACCGGCGTGCACCATCACAGGCGTGTGAGGGATACCCCCTCCCTCCCTCGCCTTTGGGAGCCTTCAGGAACCAAGTGCAGGAGCCTTGTTCAGGATGTGGAAAGTGGGACGGGACGGGACCTAAACCAAAGAGGTGTGACCTTAGCGGGGAAAGCAGTAAGCAGTGCAGTGCGGCAGGGTCCCTAGCAAGACAGCGTTGCTACACTTGGGCTTACTCACATCCGTGTCATCCAGGGTCAAGGACTCGAGGACTTGAAAGAGTTCACTAGTATGGGCCTGGCCTCAGGCCAAGCCCAAGCATGTCATTCTCCCTCGGTCTCGGCTGTATAGGAAGCGAAGGAAGGAAGCGAAGCTTCGACTTCCCTCTCTCCCCTCACTCGGGGAAAACGGTCGCTGCATCATTGGCCGTGGGTACTGCAGCGATTGTCCCCGCAGCGTCCCCGCAGCGATGCGATGCCGGTGCTTCCAGCTTCGCATCTGAGCGGTCCCCAAAGTACTGGCCCAGTTTGGTTTGTCCCTTGCCCTCCATTGGCCTCCAAGCATCCCAGTTGTCTGGCAGTTGATAGCCGGCAGACTTCAGGAATTCAATGTGCTCGACCTTGGTAGTCGCTCGAGACCCCACTGTGTAGGCAATGAGGATATAGCGGTCCCCCATCCACGGCATTGTGCCATGTAGAAGTCGCCTGCTGTCGAAGAGAACAGCCCGCCCTGCTGTGGGATATCGCATCCCCCAATAGCGAGTACCTTCCGCCTCCAAAACCACGTCCCCAGCATTGTCCTGAATCCACAGCTGGCCTGCATCGTGGTGAGAGAGGCCGACCAACAAACTGGCATCCGTGGCGTTGTGCGCATCATAGTGAGGGGCGGTGTGGTTATTCAGGTTCACGCTGAGTGATGTCCAGCAGTGCTGAGGCAGAATTTCGCGAATCAGTGCATTGAAGATGCGACTCACAGCGAGGTGGTGCCCCGAGGGCTTAGCCAGGCCCGTGATCCCGCCCTTGCTGTACAGACCCAATCGGAGGGTCCGTCCATTAGCGGCCTCTCTCGGGTCATGATCGAAGGATAGTGCGCGTGCTACCTCACGTGCCGCGGACCACAGAGAGCCAGTACCTTCTTCAAGGAATGCCTGCGCAATGACCTCAGCATCGTTACGCGGCCTCAGTTTGACTGGATTGGGTAGCCTCGTCAAACCATGGTGTACCTGATGTTGTGACATTCTCTCCACATAGGCAAAGAACTTGGCTCGAGCATTCGGGGGGAGAGTAAGCTGTGCTTCCTGTGCAATCTCATTGCATGTGGCCATGGTGATGGATGGCCTCACGCCTTCCGTGCTTGGAATCAGGTCTCGCAGTGCACAGAGTAGTTGAATCTCTTCCTGGGCTACGGCGCAGACATGCTCAGGTAGTGCAACTATTCGATGCATCCTGGTCGAGTGGTGCCGACCTAGGCACCACGTGTGTGCCGTCCCTTGGACACACACAGGAGCTTCGAGCACTGGAGCCAATGCATAGGGCACGTCAGAGTCACAGGTTACACTCCGCGTTCTCATGAACACAGTGCACAGTGCAGGTCGTGCTGAGAACCGGGCTGGCAGAACACTCAGATGCAGCGCTCCCTACGCGCTGCTAGGGCCGACCTAGGCCCGCCTCCTTTTGCTGAAAGCTCTGCAGAAAGAAACATCATGCAGTTGGTATGGAGAATGGACGTTGAAGCATGCCAAGCGCACGCACACACAATCTTGGATGTAAAAAGAGTTACTCGCACACATTGTTTGATGCTGGCAGTTCACGCGCTTCGGCGTTGCCTGTAGCTCGCTTCGGCTGGGAGTGTTGTAATTGTGGGCCCTCCCAGCTGGCCCGGAACATGTTACCGGTGGCGTCTGAGACCGAGCAGGTAAGCATTTCTGTCTACAAGCTGCAGGTCTTTGGCAGTGGCTTTGCGGGGCTGTTTGTTGTCATCGCACACAAGGAAATCCCATTGATTACCATTAGGAGCACCTATAAGGGTCATGTAGTGTCCGCTGGTGGGGAGCGGTCCTATGTGATATACGATTGATACTACCTGGAAGGTCTCATGCCTGGTGGCTAGGCCCTCAGCAGCAGCGAAAAGAGGAAGCGCCACTGAGTTCCCTGGCCTGACACGGAGCAGGCTTTGATCTTTGGCGGCGTCAGCGTCATATCGGCAGATCTGCAGGAAAAGCACCCCGTTATGAGTTGTGAGTGCATGCCGTGCATACTGTCCGTGCCATCTATCGACTAGCTCCTGCAGAGTGGCACCTGGCAGATGAAGTGGGATGGCTTGCTGCAGCGTGCCTGAGTCGGCAATGCTGTGTGGATTTTCAAGGCGTGCTTGCCAGCGACCCTCCCAGGCCTCAGCCTGTGCGTTGCGCAGGCAGTGAGCCAAAAACTCCCCTGCGTCATGCTGGCGATGCAAACGCGGCCATTCGCTGAAGAGAAACCGCAATGCAAGGCAGTCGGGCAAGTGAACCGGTGTGCTCGCCCTAAGCACTCTCGCACCTGGCTGCAAGCGCCCAAAATCAAGACCAGTGACCTCCGCCAGCCACATGGTTGCCTGGAGAATGGCATTAATGTAACACACATTGGTTGTGTTACGCAGCTTGACAGGAAAGGGAGTAGGGTCCAGGCGTGAGGGGTGGCACGATACCCTACGTGCCACCGTAACCGTCATGGGCCGCCCTAGGCCCGACGGCCCTCCCACCGACCCTGCGAGTCGCGCCGGCTCCAGTCGCAGAACGACATCTGCAGATAGGCCTCCTCCAAGGCATTGGCCAGTGGCGCTTTGTGGGCCCGTTCCGGTCTCCACCTCACTCCCTGAAGCTTGACCAGGGCACAGCCCGAGAGCTTCTTCATGGCATCGTGGCACTGATCGCTGGCGGCTCCGCGGAGACTCAGGTTCATCATCATCGGGATTACCTCCTTGTCGTGCTTGTCTTGCATGTGACCCTGCTTCGCTGAGGCAAACTTCGTCAGCACTCCCTCCATGCCCAGGTTGTCGATCAGCATGTCCAGGAGGCGAAGGGCCTCGCAGTGCTTCAGTGGTGGTGCTTCCGACACCACCTGCTGCTTGGTCTGTGCATCCCATGTGTGATACACCCAGGCTGGATTCAGGGAGTTCTCGCTGGGAATCAGCCAGCCCGATTCCTTGCACTTTTGTAGGCGGTCCTCCTCCCGAAGCGTCAGTTCTGCTCGCTCGCGAAGGTCTTTCATCATGGAGATCGCGAGGATGTTCTTGAGGCCCTGCTTGACCTGTCCCTTGCTCTGGAGTTCTATCCAGTTTTCCGTCACTCCCTTCAGCATGGGAAGGCACCCCAGTTCCGACGTGTCGCAGAAAGCGATGAAGCCCACGTCTGGTCTCAGGCGGGTCAGCTCTTGCTCGTGCCGAACCGACATCTTCACCAGGCATTTGACCAGCTCGTTCATGGGCCCGTCGTCCTGGCTGCTGTGATCGCGGTTGGACTGGCTTGATTGCCAGTTCCGTTTGCCGCTGTTGTGGGACCAGGCGTCCCATGAGCCACGGGATGGTCCTTTGCCCTTGTTGGCCTCCTTGGGCCATTTGGGCTTCGGCTCGCGCTCCTGCGTTGTGTTCTCCTCCTCCCCGTCTGGGCTTCGTTCCCGCGTCTTCTTGGAGCGATCCTTCTCCCACGAGCGACCTCCCCATACATCCTCCAACTCCTTCCGGCGCTGCTGCGCCAGCTCTTCCTCTTCCATGGGCTCGCTCATCACTTCCAGGTTGGCCTCGGGTGAGATGCAAGTTCGCAAGGGATGCCTGGAACGCCGCTTGACAGCTGATGAGGTGCCGACTCGGCTGCGCAACGTGCAGCCCGCAGTAGTGGCACGGATCTACTGCTAGTAGGCCTAGTCGCTTGCACTGCAACTCTGCTGCCGGTCTCAGGGCCCAGAACTCCGGATGCATCCGTCTGATATGCTGCTTGAGACGGTTGCCCCACTGACCACAGACAAGGCAGTATTCCCGCAGTACCCCACAGACATGTGGCAAGCGCAATGTTTGTCGCCAGTTTTGCTGAACCTGAGCACAAAAATCGGGGTCTGCTAGTAGGCCACGGTGCCCTGTTGAGAGAATTGGCACTACACGCGCAGTCTCAGCAGATGTGTCCGCCTGCAGAGCCCAGCCCCTAGGCGACTCTGCCCGCGACGCGGGTACCTGTTCCGCATCGGCGGTGGCGGACACATCACTCACATTTACAACAGGTGCTTTAGCAGGGCAACCGGACTTAATGTGCTTCTTAAGAGCCTCAACCCGAGTGAACTTACGCTTACAGCTAATGCACTGCGGCATCCCGTCAACAGTGCACGCAGCATATGAAACGGCGTCAAGTACACCTGGCTGTGGTCTTGCATTCTGGCCCTTATATCCATGGCGTTTTGCTTGATGCGTGCGCATAGTCTGGACAGTGCTGAAGTATTGACCACACTCTGGACATGCTACCCCTATCTGCGGCTCCCGCCCAAAGGGGCTGGACTCTGTTGCCGGCCCAGTGGCAGGCTGTGCACGCAGACTGATGAGATCCTGCTGCAATCGCGAAAACCATTGCACACTTTCAGCATCTGCAGTTTTCCGTATACGACCTTCTAAAGTCTGTGCCAGGACAGTGCTCGGGGACTCCACCTTGAGTCGAATGCGGAGATCCGCTGTGCTTTCCTTATAGAGGTGTGCAGGCGCGTGGGCAATGGCTCGCAAGACTCGAGCATCGAATTGGTCGTGTCTTCTCAGCACAGAGGAGGTGAACCCCGTAGCGTGCTGGCCATACAAAAGACTGCTCCTGACACATGCAACGTATAACCTGACTCTTTGTTGAAGTGTAAGTTGTCTATGTTGGAGGACACGAGCTAGACGGTGCCTGTTTCCCAGAGCGGCTTGTTGTCTGTGGTAGCACGTCTGAAGTTCGAAGTTGCTGTACGAAGCGATGATGCCAAGATACTTCATATGTGGGACGATGGGTATCTGTAGCGGTGCGTGCGGCAGTCCTACGTTGAGGGTTGGACCTTGGGGACCTAGGCACCTGTTACTACGAAACCAGCGGGCCGCGGCACTGCCTCGGAGCTTCAGTACAAGCTGTGACTTGGCTGGGTTCACAGTCATCCCGAACTCCTCAAACACCTGAAAAGTGACCCGTGTGCAGTGCATAAAGAAGCGTAAGTCATTCCCCGTATACACATCCCAGGCCAAGTGCGTATCATCCGCAAACAGAGTGATGGCCGCCTTGGCCCATTGCTCGTTAGTACGTTCAACCAGTACGTCATAGACTAAGCACGTGAACAGTGAGAAGAGGTACGGGCTGAGCGTGCAGCCTTGTCGCACTCCCAGTTCCATGTCAAATGTGTTGCTGATGCCTTTGTGTTGCACTTTGTATCGACACTGGGAATGCAAGGCCGTCACAGCTTGGACAAGCGGCTCGGATGCACCAGCGTGCAGCAATGCTCTCTGCAAGGCAGCTCTGGGTATGCAGTCGAAAGCTCGGCTAAGATCCAATCCTAGCATTATGCCACCTACACATTGGCTAGATTTTTGTCCCTCCCTACGACCATGAACCGTCGGTATGGCGTGCTGGACGCGGTCTCGGACCTGCCTGCAATGCTGGCAAACTCTGGCTATAGCCTGGTCGATAGCCTTATCCGGGCAGTAGGCGTACTGCGGACGCCGTTGCAGAAACCCCAGTGTGAGCTCTTGCAGGCGATTTCTGATGGCACTAGCTGTTACCTTAGAGCTGGGGTCCTGTATCCCTAGCGGTCGTAGATCCGCTGGTCTACGCCCGGGCTTGTTGGGTTTAGGGAGTAAAAATAAGGTACAATCAGCAACTTCGGGCGGGTATTGTGGGGCCTTTGTGGTGCTGAGGTTGACGCGAGGCAACAGAAACTGTGCAAACTCAGCAGGGCATAGCCGCCACACTTCAGCAGGAGCACTATCAGACGGCACAGCCTTGCCCCCTCGCAACTGGGCAATAGCATGCATGAGTTCTTCCTTGTCAAAGTGCATGACCTGCTGATCTTGCAATTGATAGTTTTGTGCACTGCTGAAGGCGCCCTGGAAGTATTCGAAAATTGCGTCGAATTCCGCCTGCGGGCTGAGCAGCTCGCCTTGCATGCCGCGAATACGAACCGGATCCCTACGACGCTTAGGGGCCAGGAGGTTGACTATCCTATAAACCGCACTAAGGTCGTGCCGGGTGGCAGCATGCTCAGCTTCCGTGATTTTGGTTTCGAACCAAGCTCTCCGAGCTGCTCTGCTGACCTGTCGCAGCCTACGACTCGCCTGCTTGAAAGCCTCGGCCCTCTTCCACGCGAGCACAGAATTACGGATGCCTCTTGCGGTGACACCAGTCTTCAGGGCCTGGTGGGTAGACTCTACAGCTTCAAGAGCACTGCGGACTTCGGGCTGCTGGTAGGGCTTGAGGGCTTTGGGGGCAGCTTGGGATCGGGGATAAAGGCGCTTACATTCGGCAAGGATGTTAGCATTAATTTGGGCAAGGGTGTCGTAGGGGCCAGCAGCAGATAGTATCTTGCTGACCTCACTTTGTAGTTGGTGGGCTCTCGCATCCATCATCCGCACTGACATCCTAAGGTCACGCACTGCAAACCTACAGCTCACTTGGGGTGGGCGCTGGTAGGTCCAGCCTGCACGCCAGGGAATGCTGGCTATCAGTGCATGATGCTTAGGTCCTCGCCTCCACGGCGCGAGATCAAACACATGTGGCACGACACGTCTGGCTGCAGCATCCGCCGCCGGCCGGCGAAGTGCAATGTAGTCAATCTGACTGCGCACCTCTCCATGCACAAAGGTGTGACTGCAGGATGCTCTGGCGCTGCACCAAGTGTTTAATAGGACAAGGTTATGCTCAATGATCAAGGCGTCAAGCTCAGCATCCCTTCCCTGTGAACACCGAAGAACCCCGCGGCCTACATGTCCAGGTATGGGAGCACAGCGCGTATTAAAATCAGCTCCAAGCACCACCATGTTGCGTGTTGGAATTGCATGCAGGAGGCGGCTGAGCTGACTCCAGTAGAAACTGCGCTTCTCCTGTACTGCTGGATCATGTGGTCCGGTCCACTGGTAGCCAGCTACTATGTCCATGGTTGCCCTGTCTGTGCAGAGCCTCACTTGCAGCAGTCGACCTGGGATCCATGTGCAGAAACTGGCCTTCGTGGCCGCCCCTAGCCGTTGTGAAATAATCACACAGACTCCGCTGTACCGTTGCGCAGGATCAGCAGACACAAAGAAGTTCCAGCCCGGGAGGGACCATGTGCCATCTTCGCGACCACAGCCCCAATGTATCTCCTGCAGAATGACTATATCTTCCTGGCAAGAGGTGGTGAGCCAATGGCACAGTCGGTCGTAGCTTTCAGCTGTGATGCCACCGGCGTTGTAACTGCGGACCTTGAGTCTGGGTGAGGAGGTCCACGGCAAGGCACCTCGATTGGGCCGCACGGGTGAGGGTTGCTCCTTGTCTCGCCTTTCCGTCACTCCAAGATCGCTGGCTGTGTGCCACTTGCCACGATAAAAAGTTCCTCCTTGTGTCGCCGCGCGGTGTCTAGCGCGACGAAACGCCCTCTTGCGGGCGCGTGTGTGCATCGTAGAGCAGTTAGCAGTCCCCCCAGATGTTTTCGTGGTTCCCGCAGTGGGGAGCACTCCCGAGCCCAGTGTGGGGTGGGACTCAACCCTCGGGTCTGCCATCTCGTCTCCATGTAGATCTTCACCGTTCTCAGGAGATGGCTGCCGGATTTGGGACCGGCACAGCTGGACAGTTTGTTCATACGACGTCATCAAATGCAGCAACGCAACGATTGGGCACAGTACAGTCCGCGCGACCATGTTGTGAACCGTCCTAACTGCACAGCTTCGCTCCAGCCGAGACCCTTAGTAGTAGTAGTAGTAGTAGTAGTAGTAGTAGTAGTAGTAGTAGTAGTAGTAGTAGTGGTAGTAGTAGTAGTAGTAGTAGTAGTAGTAGTAGTAGAACTGCTACTACTACTACTACTGCTACTACTACTTCTGCTACTGCTACGACTGCTACTGCTACTTCTTCTACTACTACTGCTACTACTGCTACTGCTACTTCTACTACTGCTACTACTACTACTACTACTACTACTACTGCTACAACAACAACTACTACTACTACTACTACTACTACTACTGCTTCTAGCCGGGCGACAAAAAAAACAATCAGCCGGCTACGGCTTCTACGGCTGCTAGCGCGACTGCCACTGCAGCTGCTCTTGCTGCTGTCACGGCTACGGCTAAATACTGCAGCGGCTTCGGCTACGGCTACGGCTGCTGCAGCAACAGCTACTGCTATTTTCCTTAGCGTACTCCTTAGTTGCCGCCAGGACGAACCCTGCCGCTGCCGGCCCTTGGGAACTGCAGCGCTGCACAGACACCCCGGCAGAGAAGTGCAGGTGGCTTCCCGCACTGCAGGGGTTGAGGGTTGTCTCGGAGTTCCAGCATGTGACCGGACAGTAGTAACTTAGTAGCAAGCAGGCTATATCCCGAGCCCTGGCTGTGTGCAGTTCATTGAAGGTACAAGCCGGAACCGAGCTTTCCTGTCGGTCTCTGGGTGGCTTCTCGCGGATCGGAACTACGGCTTCGGCATAACAGTGGTAAATGCAGCCAGCGAGAGCGACGTGGGCTTCTTCATCTGGACATCTTGAGCCGCATGTGGTGGGTGTTGGTGGGGGTAGCTGCCTTCTTTTGTCCATTGAGCCGCCGACATGTGCCGCAGGACGTTGGACTCTGTTGGGACGGCCTTGGAAGGCTCAGAGAGTCCTGTCGCATTCCAAGAGGCGAGCCAGAAGAGTTTTTGTGCTTCGAAGCAATCTGTGACACACTTCAGCCACCGGCTCCTGCAACAGGGCGATGCTTCAAGCTGGCATCTGTACCAGGACCCATGCGGCCTGCAGGTGCAGTTGCAATCAAGCTGTCTAGGTGCGTGTTTTGCGTGTTTTGGAGGATCATGGCATGGCGCCAGTGCTCTTCGTGGCGAATGGCCCCTTGGACCATCACTTCCTCCTTCGCTACCTTGCCACCGTCAGAATCCGCCTCAGGTTACCTGCATCCGTTCTCGGTGTTTGGCGTTCCGGAGACTTTGGTGGTCCAGGCAAGAGCTTGTAATCCCGTCACCCGATAGCTCTGCGTGCAGTTTCTGTGGTTCGTAACTTGTCCACATCCGAATCTGGCCTGGAACTTGACAGATTGGAGCTTGCAGTAGGCTTTCGGGCTAAAGTGGTTAAAGCGTCAAGAGGGTCTAAAGCCTAGATTCCGACGATCTTTGCAGGCAGCCTCAAGCCCAAGGCCCTTTATACCAAATGTCACATTGGAAAGTCTTCCAAAGCCCCTTTATGGGAGTTTCCGAAAATAGGGGTACATTATTTTGGGGTCCTTATCGAATCATAGTCATAAGGATCCTACAAAGGGCACTATATTGGGTCCCCTATTTTCGGCAAACCCCATATCGAGGCCACAGAATTGTGAGCCCTGCTTAGAGGTTCATGGGTGCTTGTAAGTGGGACTTATAACCCCACCCATAACTACCCTAAACCCAACCTCGACCCCTCAACCCCTAAACCCTAAACTTCTGCAGACCTTGCCAGGCTTGTCCGAGTGTGAGTGTCAAAAAACCCTAAACCTCAATCCCTAAACCCTATAGATCCCTTTTTGCACCTCCAAGTGGATGAGGGGTTGCCGGGCTCTGCGTCTTCTGCGCGCCTGCTCGGGCCAGCAAACGCGCCTTGCTTTCCACGGCAGGATAATCACGGTTTAGGGTTTAGGGGTTTAGGGTTTAGGGTTTAGGGTCCCGAAATTACTAAACCCTTTTCCCTGAAACCCTAAACCGGGACCCGCTAAACTCTGCAATTTCGGATTCGGTGTTTGAGGCTGAGGGGAGGGGGCTTTCTTTGCTTCGAAGGCCTAGGCTTGGCCGACACACGGCCGACAGGAGGGCCGACCGTTTCGAAGCCTGTCACTAACATGCCGTTCGCACAGTGTCTGAGGTGACAGTGTGTAGAGCAGAACTGCAAGTAGCTACTGTTTTTTGCTTAGCTCCCCACCATTTCCACAAGGTAGCCCAGCAGGCGTTAGCATGACGAGGTTCAAATACCATCTAATGCTGCAAACATAGTGAGGAATGCCGAAATACTGGTCTTTGCCGATTCTCCTGAATTTTTGCACGTTTCACACGCAACAGGTTCGCTGGAGCACCATGCTGACCTTTTTAGTTAGACGCTACATCACGATTGCCAGCGCATTTCGTGGGTGCATTCAGTCAATGCCGCGATAGAAAGCCAAACAGCAGAGCTTAGCGTCAATCCAAGCCACCCACCAAACAACTTCCGCTCCTTGCGTAACCGTATGTTATATGATCTTATATAGTACCTTATAGTATCTTACAGTATCTGAAAGGGTTTTATAGTATGTTATAATATAATATAATATAATATAGTGTAATATAATATAATATAATATAGTATAATATAATATAATATAATATAATATAATAATATAATATAATATAATATAATATAATATAATATAATATAATATAATATAATATAATATAATATAATATAATATAATATAATATAATATATATATATACACACATATAATATATCTATCTATATCTATCTATATATCTATATACCTATATATATATATATCTATATATATATATATCTATATATCTGTATATACATATATATATATATATATATTCTAGTACCAAGGTGCACTTCCTACGACCCGGCCTCGAGACGGCACCCTGGCACTGAGTGGCGAGATGTAGCTGCAGCCTCCAGCTCGTCTGGGTGTTACGACGACGAAGCCCTCAATCCGTAGCCTTAGCTACTACGGTCGCCGAAAACTCTGAATCCCAACAGTTTTCTGAAGCTAAGTATGAGGGAAAAACAGTTTTCTGAGTTTTCTGCAGGCGAAGGAGAACGGCGCTCAACGGATCCTAAAACCATGGTTGCAAGGGCTTTGCTTTGCGAGGAGTCTCTGCTTGGAGTCGTCAGCGCGTCGGACCGGAAGCTTGTATGGGCGCCCTGTCCAAGATCAGATGCGCGATCGGAGGTCGCAAGTCATATAGAAGCCTGAGTCTAGTTGCTGCTGTGGTGTACCGCAGAACCCTATTCTAATTACCAAGGCCCCTTTGCAAAACCGTACTAAAGCTTCAGAGTAACCCTGATAAACTTTTACGCGAACTCTTCAAGGATCCCTAGTCTAATCATGAATCAAGGCCCCTATCTTCAGTTTAGGGTCGCGGTGCTTCAAGAAGCGCCCAGGAGTCGCTCCGGCTCCAGCCGAACAAAACCTACTCGTTCCAGGCTCGGCGTCGCCAACCTTCGCATTGCACACATAAACACAAGTTTGTGTTTGAATGTACATTTACCTGTACACGCAACTCGCATATGCCTGTCCGCTTATATCCAACTGTGCTTGTTGTACATATTCATGTTTGTATTTGCCTCTATACGGACATGAATCTGCACAATACTCTATGCTGTTATTTTATATGGCGATACGTAATTCTTCATGACACCCTATCAAATGAGAATTCTTGTGAAGTTAATATTTGCACGGAAAGGATCATTATCAGATTTCCCGAACACGTATTGGAGAGCTTAACAGCTCTATGCCCGTAATTGCAAATCCTAAACTCCACTCAGGCTAAACAGAGAAGAAACAACACGGCTTTGAGTTTTCCTGTAAAGCGGGGCTGCAGTCCGGAGACATGCGATGAAGGCCAAGACGGTGCCCCACGCCCTTAAGCCCAAAGCCAATCGCTAAAATGCAGTAGACGATCCCACTTAATTACTAAAGCCTCAACCCCTACCCCTAAATCCTAAGCCCTAAACTATAGTCATCACAACAAGAATGGCCCTTGTAGTAAATTGTTGCAGCCCTTCGCTATTCAAAGGATCATGGGACTTAGTAACTATGACCCTCCATTGCAGAACCCGTATAGATCCCTTTAAGGAGCCCGATTATAGAACCCTGTAGTACCCTTAAAGGAACTACTAAGTCCCATGACCCTCCAAGTAGTCCTGCCAGGTCTCCTTCGAGGTCGAACTCCCGGAGCCCTACTTCTCGACCCCGAGCTTCTACCTTGAGCTGAGCCTCGGCTTTGTCATGGGAAGAGCCATTTTTAGTGTTCCTTCTTAAGGGTCCCTTTAAAGGGAGCTATTTGGGATTCTATAAGCGTATAGGGTTTAGGGCCTACTTGGAGGTTTTATGGGTAGTTACTTATGGGGTTGTGGGTAGGTTAGCCATGGTTTTAACCCATATCAGGGGACTTGTAACCCCACTTCCTAGAAGAGCATAGCGGCGGCGTGTTCAAACTTATGTCTACTTCACGAGAGGAGAAGAACTTAGTGACTTAGTGTCCGCCCTCTCGCTCGAAAACTCTCTGCAGCTACACGCATACACGCATGCACACGCCCACCATATCAAAGACATATATGGCAAGTCTATCTATATCTATCTGTATCTATATCTGCATCTATATCGATATACCCGTATATCTATATCTGTATATCTACATCTCCGTCTCTATGTGTACTTCTAAAGAGCTCCGGACTGGGTAGACCCTACTTCTGATCGGAGATAGCAGGCAACAGTGGATCAAGCAGCAAGCCGACAGGCGAAGGCAGTAGATCGAAATAGCGTCGTGATTCTGGCAC